GGCCGGGAGTGCACATGGGGCCGCGGCAGTTGGGGTCCGTCATGCTAAATGACCGTCCGTAGCTAGACACACCAACAACGACCTTGTTCGAAGGGACGCCGGCCTTGGTGATCATGGCGAGCGCATAGTTGGTCTCTGTAAGATTCACACTGGGGGGCGTCCGGGTAAGCATAGACCGAAGTAGAAATAGGAGCGCAACTTACTGGGAGCGGAAGACAGTCGCCCCCTGGCCAGCCCTTCGGTGGCGAACTGGTTCCCCCAATCCCATTGTCCGCGCAGATCGTAGGTCATGAACACAATGTAGTCCAGCAACGGGGCCATATCTGCGATTGGAAAGCCTTTGAGGTACCTGGCCAGTCGCAACGTGTCAAAGGGGAGAGAACTGATCGACGGGTTGGTGGGGCTCACCAGTACGAAGCCGGAGCAGCAATAGACAGACTTTTACCCGCGGGCAAGATGGCCTTGACCATCTGGAGGAACTCTAGATAGTTGGCGCCATCATTGGGGCCTCCAGGAGGGATGCCCGGGATATCAGGAGCCTGAATCGTCAGGATCAGCGATGTTAGAGTAGAAAATAAGGGCACGCGGGGTGTGGTTCTTACCCCCGGATACTCCCAGTCAAAGTCCAGCCCGTCGAGGTTGTGTGTTTGCATGAATGAAACCACATTTTGTGCAAATGTCTGTCGGTTCGCGGACGTGACACCGTCACGGAAGATTGGGAATGTGTCCGCCTCAGTCCTGGTTTGTGTGAGACCCTTTAATCCTCAACCTCTCTGGCTTCAAAGTTTAAAGGACTTACGAGAAGGACCAACCACCAAATGACAGAATTTTCTTGAACCCCGTCGTGGCCTTGAAGTCGTTGAACTGTGTCTGAGTGTCCGAAACATCGACTTGGTAGTCGTTGGTGATTCCACCAAAAGCATAGTGAATATGGCTATAACCACTCGGGATCTGGGCGGCGGTCATGCCCAAACACCCGCGCGTGGCCGCCCAGGACTCCCAGTAGCCGACCTTGAGAAACTGGGCGGGGTGGTTGTCGTTGTTGGCAAAGTTTGTGCCGCAGTTGGAGATGCAGCTCGCCGTCCCCGGAGGTGAAGTCCCGGGGGCCCCCGTGTCGGACTGGTAGATGGTGCAGAAGGACGGCGTGATGCCGCACTGGCCCCATATGTTGCAGCACGAGTTGAGCGGACAGGGGTTGAGATTGGCCAACTGCGAGAAGTCGCTCGGTGCCTGCGTCCCCAGGACTTGGGGCCCACAGATGGCGTTGGACACGGGGGCCGGCATTGGGGGGCTACCGGTGCTGAGACAGATAGCCTGCCCAACCTGCATAAACTGGCAGCCGTTCCAGCCCCAGGTTTGCTTGTTGAAGTTCTCAATATCGTCTGCCGTAATAAAGTGGTCGCTCGCAATCAGGGCGCACCACTCGCCCGCCTGGACTGTGTATGTCGCACATGTTCCGTCAGGGTTTGGCTGCGGCCTGAAGTCTGGGAGATCGCCTGGCGAACAGCAGACGTGCTGGCCAATCTGAAGGGTCGAACACAAAGCTGGTAAGGGGTTGTAGGACTCAAAGGCCGCACCTGAGATGCCGCACCTAGCCGCCAGTGAGCCACAGCCATCGCCTGAGACGACTTGGGTCGTCGAGCAAGTATTCCGGGACTGTTTGCCAGCTAACGTGGTGTTGAAGTGCCGAGACGGCGGGGCTGGAGATGCCGTGGTCCGCCGTCCAACCTGGATCTCGCTTGATTCGCGGATGCTGTCCAGCCCATCAACGCAGGTGCCGTTGTTCCATTGGCGAAGCGTGCTCTGGACGAGACCGACATCGCCCTCGGTGTTGACAATGAGACCGAGCGTCTCGGCACGGCCAGCGTCGGGGCAGGCCTGTACGAGAAATGTTGTTCCCAACCCCCCCTCGGCGATGTTTTTGTTTGTCTGGTTGACCACAGATTGGAAGCTCAGAGGTGTGTCGAGCCCTGACCCAATGTACACCCCGACGATAGTGGCAGCAGAGGGAGATGCGCTAAAGAGGACTCTGGTGCCACAGTCCTCGGGAATAAGGAGCTCGCGATCCAGGTCGGCGAGCAAGGGCTTGAGAGACTCGATGGATAAGAGGCCGTTGTCGGCAGCTACCACACCGCTCCGACCGATCTGCAGCGGAAAACTGACGGTGCTTGAGTTGCCGCAGTCCGAGTCAACAGATTGGGTGGTAGCTATGCTAGGCCCTCCATCACCGGTGGCGACGCAGGCGCGGATCAGGGTTGAGACCTTGGTGTTGCTGAGGTCGTTGACCAAAGACAGGTCGAAGAGTACAGCCTTGTCGCAGCTCTTGAGTTGGTCGACATGTTGGAGGACAGTCCAGTTAGCTGGGCTGGAGCCTACGTTGTGGCAGAGGTCCGGGCAGAGGCTCAGCTGGGAGTAGAAGGTCGCAGCCAAGGTGAAGGCTGGCTGAAGAAGCAGAAGTCTGGCGACATTGGCCAGAACAACAGGACGTGTCTTCATGCCAGCAACTGGGATGAGAGACAGCCCAGAGAAGGAGAGACGGCGGCTTGACGATCAATGTCAGGAAGAGGGCTGAGGGCACCAGTTAGAAGAGTACTGGAGCCGATGCGTTGCTGCAGTTCTTATACTCAACTAATAAAGATAATTCACTGTCCCGCTTCAGACTCCATGTTCGCCGCCTCGACCCTCTCGGCCTTCACAATAACCATCCCACCAGACCCTATGCCACCATCCTCCTCCCTACTCGCTTTCCTAAACTGCGACGCAGTTCTTGGTTAAAGCGCTGCCTGGAGTTCTTACTAAGGTACACTTGGCAGTCCGTCAATATTGCCTCTCTGCATCAATATTGCCTCTCGGCTTTGACACAAAGCACTTGCCAAGCCCGCGCTTTTATCATGTGCACCCCCTTTAGACCCTCTCTCGGGTGGGTGCTCAACCTGTACGTCTTACATATCATCTCGCGGGTGGCATATAACCATTACCGCCGAAGATAATACAGCCGAAGATATTGAACACATGCTGAGTAAGTCCTCCTCCTAGTGCTAAAACTCTTCCGTGGTTTAGTTTAGGCAGCCGTGGGGGGGTAACATGACACGCGAGATATTAACTATTTGGACATTTGTAAGAAGGAAGTCACTGACGTTGTATTATTATATCTAGGACCTCGGGCCTCATTTCTTGCTACAGCTCTCCACTGAAGATCTCGACTTCAACCACGGTCCCAAATAGCCGATTCGGTGCCGCGCTCTACCTACTTGTACCCTCTGGCTTTATGCCTAGTTTGACGATCTGAGAGGCACTGCTATGGGGTCCTTTCGTTTGCTCACACTGGCCCTTTGTTTCGGCCTCTTGCGCATCGTATCTGGCGCTCCCGACGTTATTTTAACAGTCCACGAGGCCGCGGATTGCCTGCTACGCTTTCGTATGTACCCCTGCGCCGATGTGTTCTTCCCCATGACTTAGTATTTATTACGTACTTTACTGTCACCTGCAGAACTGCCCCCGGCTAACCACGCAACCCGACCTCGTAGAGACCCCGCAGTCCGAGCGAACCACGCTTGAATCACGCGTGACACAGACAACCTGGACCCAGACACCCGACGACGTGGCGAGGACCATTGAGGACTTCAGCAACATTGAGGGCCAAAACGTGCCCCTCTGGTTGAGCGGCAGCACCGCCTTCCTCTACGCCGGCTTCATCACCTCGGACTGCATAAACATGACCCCCCAGCCCGGCCTCAACCGGCCAGACACAGCCATCTCCATCATCCTCCCGTCAGGCGTCGCCAAGCTGCAGAGGGTTGGGCCGAACCCCGAGATGATCTCGCCGGGTAATGCGGCGAGGACGGTTGGTATCCAGGGAATCAATGGGCAGCTCGACGCTGATGATTTTGCCTACGCGACAGGGGCAGCGGTGGAGCACGCGATTCGACAATGGCAAGCCGAAGTAAACAGATGGCGGAGCCCCTTGACCGAGATAGGATTTCTGGCGACCACTGGGATGACTGGACAGACAGTGGTGATCCGCGTACCTATTATATGAGATATCAGGGCGAGCTACGCTCTTCTAGATACAGCCGAATCCTTTGCACCTCTCTTTTTGGGCATCCAGTTGGCTAGGAATTTGAATACACTGCCTGGTCGTTAACGTGGTCGTCGTCGTAGCCAGGCTCACAATTTTGAACCCTATAGCTCGGGGATTCAACCAACAAGGGCTCATAAAATTACCAGATCCCTCTCAACTGTCAACATCCTGTGGAAAAGTGGTTGTGGTGTTGTTCCGGCTGTGGTGTCAAGGCGTCCACTATGGTGGCAGGGGTAAGTTTCTTCTCCCAACTGGTACCGATGGAGAGCCCGCCCAACCCAACCACCACAATTGGCTTAGTTTTTTTTTAAAAAAATGGATAGGGCCATATTATCCTACATCCACACGCCTTTCAACACTCTTTTCCTTAACGGGTGTTGTGATTTGGTTGATGCAAGAGTTGCTACGAAAATGCGTGTAAAGTTACGCTTTGTGACGATTTGGCGTGATGCAGGGGGGCTGGTCGGGAGTTACGAAGTTACCCAGGGAAAAAACTTCAGCACGAGACCACACCAAGCATTGGAGAAAGTTCTGGCTGGTTGAATCCAAAATTCGCGGCCCTCCCGCAGAACACTCTAACCAATTACAGGTGGAGTGGCGTCGGGCATGGCCAGCGACAATTTGCCCCCCACCATGCCCTGCTGCTGCAAGCTTTCCCCGCCGTCGCGACGTTTCCATCTCTGCAACCTCACGTATCTACCTACCTAGGCAACTAGGTAGGTAACTTACCCCATTTAAGTCCATGTAGAGAGCAAGGGAGGGAATCCAGGGCCAAGAGCAAACTGCGGACTGCAACTTCGAAAACAAATTGAACACTATCAAACATGGAATTTCAGCTTCAATTCGGAAAAGCTCAAGGGATCACATGGTAGAAGGAGATGGCCAAAAATGACGGCCCGGTTGACCGGAAGAACTGTCGCAAGCGCGAGAGCAACTCACCCAAGCCCGCCGCGAGCTCGAGGACACCAGACTGCAGCTCCACACCATGAACCCAGGCTCAGGAAGCCCCTCTTGCTCGGCCGGCGTATGCGGATGTCGCCCGATGTACACCTCCTACCAGCGGTCCTAGTCTGGCATCCTCCGCAAGCCGGAACGGCTACGCCAGAGCCAGCGTTCTGCACGGTAGACATGACCAGGGTACCGGAGGAACACATCGAAGAGGCTACACCAGTGGCTCTTCGCAAACTCATCGAGAACGAGATGCGAGCGCCGGGAGACCAACCCAAATGGCGTTGTCTTGCCGTTACCAGAGACAGAGGAAACATCAACCGCCTTAGGATCGTTGGCAGGAACGAAGCGGAAGTAAAGAGAATCAAGGACATCATCGAAGCGAAGAAGGCGCCGGGTGCACACGTCCTACGTGACCAGCTGTACCCAGTCAAAGTTGACAACGTCAACCGTACGGCCGTTCTCGACCCTGAAGGCAAAGTACTCCCCGGAGCGGCGGAAACCCTGGGCCGAGAGAACGACGTGCAGATCGCCAAGTTGGCTTGGTTGAGCCGGAAGGACACTGCGAAAAGCGTATGGATCGATGGTGGTATATATCACCAAAGCCGGCGATGACTAGAGAGGCTCATCAATGAGGGTTTCTTCCACGCGAGAGGCGAATCGGGATACACGGGAATCTTCGAACGTCGGGCGCGGCCGAACCAATGCTACAACTGCCAGCAGATTGGCCACAAAGCTTTCCAGTGCAGGAACCCTCAAGTGTGTGGAATGTGCGCTAGTGAGGGTCCACCGTCACAGCGAGTGCTCAGCAGCTATACCGAAGTGCGTTCTGTGCGGAGGACCACATGAATCGTTCAGCAAGAATTGCCGGAAGCTCTATCCATCTCGTCATGAATAGGAACGTTTCAGGTCATCCAATTGAACGTCAGAAAGCAAGGGGAGGTGCATGATAGTTTGATGAACGACGTGGCAATCCAGGACGCTGCCGTCATAGCCATTCAGGAACCCCAGGCGCGGAAGGATCCAAGGACGGCTCCTGACGACCCCTATGGAGCATCACAAATGGACCCAAGATGATCCCGTGCACGTTGAAGGAAAGGTAGATGGGCTATCCGGAGCATGCTCTGGGTGAACAAAATCGTGGAAGCCGAGCAGGTGGCAGTGGACTCCCCGGACATCACGGCAGCAGTCATACGGCTCCCGGAGCGCGTAGTCCTGGTCGCGTCCGTCTACGTACCGTGTGGGGACGGCGAGGCACTAAAAGACACCTGCGAGAACCTCCGCAGGGTGGTAGCAAAGGCGAAACGGGGCGTAGGAACGACTGTCGATATAGTGGTTGCAGGTGATTTCAACTGCCACGACCAAATGTGGGGAGGAGACGACGTCTCATCCGTGAGACAAGGGGAAGCCGACCCCATCATCGACCTCATGAACGAGCTGACTCTAAGCACTCTACTCCCAAGGGGCACAATAACATGGCAAGCAGGTGGATACGGTTCGACTATCCGACCTGGTCCTGGCCTCGGAGGAACTGGCAGAAGCCGTGATCAGATGTGGAGTCCATAGAACGGAACACGGTTCAGATCACCGCGCGATTGAAACAGTCTTCGATATTGAGGTACCTGTGCCCGACGCACCACGACCGACTGCTTCTCAAGAACGCGCCATGGAAAGACATCAGAGCCAAAATTGCAAATACACTAGGGGACACCCCAGCGGAGGGGACAGTCCAGCAGAGAACGGACCGCCTGATGTCCACTGTCTCAGGCGCGGTTCATTCCCTCACTCCCAAAGCCCGGCCATCGCCATACGCAAAGCGATGGTGGACTACGGACCTGACGCAGCTACGTCACATCTACACGCACTGGAGGAACCGCGCTCGCTCGGAACGCCGGGCAGGTTGGACCACAGCCGAGATTGAGGAATTGGCAAAGGGTGCAGCAAAACAGTACCACGATGCCATCCGGCAGCAGAAGAAGAAGCACTGGGCCGAGTTCCTTGCGGACAACGACAACATTTGGAAGGCTGCAAAGTATCTAAAATCCGGAGATGATACCACGTTTGGAAGGATCCCGCAACTTGTTAGAGCAGATGGTACATCCACGGCCGATCATAGAGAACAGGCCGAAGAGCTCCTAACAAGATTCTTCCCGGCCTTGCCCGATACGATCGACGATGAAGGTCCAAGACCACAGAGGGCACCCATCATGACGCCTATCCTTACGATGGAGGAAGTCGAACGACAGCTGTTCGCAACGAAGTCCTGGAAGGCACCAGGGGAGGACGGTTTGCCGGCAGTGGTGTGGAAGGAAGTCTGGCAGGTGGTCAAGCACCATGTACTGGCGCTCTTCCGTGCCTCACTGGAGGACGGGGCCCTTCCCAGCCAGTGGCGACATGCTAATATCATCCCGCTCAAGAAACCGGGCAAAAAGGACTACACCATCGCAAAGGCGTGGAGACCAATCTCCCTCCTAGCAACGCTGGGCAAAGTGCTGGAGTCGGTGATCGCGGAACGGCTGTCCCACGCCGTGGAGACCTACGGCCTCCTGCCCACCAACCACTTCGGCGCGCGGAAGCAGCGATCAGCAGAGCAGGCGCTGGTATTTCTACAGGAGCAGATCTACACGGCCTGGAGAGGACGGAAGATTGTCAGCCTCATTAGCCTCGATGTCAAGGGAGCCTATAACGGAGTCTGCAAGGAACGGCTGGTCCAGAGGATGAGGGCACGTGGTATCCCGGAAGAGCTGTGCCGATGGACAGAAGCTTTCTGTTCTGACCGTACGGCCTCTATCCAGGTCAACGGGCATGCTGCGGAACGACGGGACCTCCCACAGGCTGGCCTGCCCCAAGGCTCGCCCCTCTCCCCTATCTTGTTCCTCTTTTTCAACGCGGATCTGGTCCAGCGAAAGATCGATAGCAACGGTGGTGCAATAGCCTTTGTCGATGACTTTACCGCCTGGGTCACAGGACCGACGGCACAAAGCACACGCAAGGGCATCGAAGCAATCATCGACCAAGCACTAGACTGGGAAAAGAGAAGCGGAGCGACATTTGAAGCAGACAAGACAGCCGTCATCCACTTTACCCGCAAGGCCTATAAAGCCAACTCGGAGCCCTTTACGATCAAGGGTCAAGATGTTCAGCCGAAAGACCACGTTAAGATCCTTGGAGTGGTCATGGATGCCAAGCTCAGGTATAAGGAGCATATCGCAAGAGCGGCCTCCAAAGGGCTCAGCGCGGCGATGGAGCTCGAAACGGCTCAGTGGTCTATCCCCGGCTACGGCGCGGCAGCTGTTCACCGCCATGGTCGCGCCAGTGGTGGACTACGCATCCAGCGTCTGGATGCACCAATGTAATTGGAAGACCGCGCCGGCCATACACAGGGTCGCAGAGGGTCGCGGCGCAAGGGATCATAGGAACGTTCAGCACGGTAGCAACACGCGTAGCAGAAGCAGAAGCTCACATCCCCACGGCTCAAGATCGATTCTGGAAGAGGGCGATCAAGATGTGGACGGACATCCACACCCTACCAGAGACGAATCCACTCCGCAACACCACTTCCCGGATGCGCAAGTTCCGGAGATCCTACCGCTCCCCTTTCTTTCAAGTAGCAGATCTCCTCAAGGACGTCCCATTGGACAGCCTCGAAACCATCGCTCCCGTCGTATTAGCGCCATGGGAGAGGCGAGTCCGCACTACGGTTGACAGAACGGGCATCCAGCAAAAAGAGACAGAGTGGGCGGTCCGGATCGCCGTAAGCAGCTCCGCACGAAACAACATGGTCGGGATCGGAGGAGTCGTCCGTCTCCCGCTGCCGATGCGAGATGGCTCAAGGAACGAAGCCTTTAGTGTGACGCTGGGCTCCAGGTCGGAGCAAAACCCGTTCTCAGGCGAGCTTGCGGCTATTGGGTACGCGTTGAGGTTGATTCGAAATATCAGGTACTCGAAAGATCATCCTTGCCACCAGCAACAAGGCAGCCGTGATGGCCTTGGAGCGACCACACCAGCAATCAGGACAACAATATCTCTGTCAGGCGTACGATGCGATAAGTGCCTTACGCAAGGCGGGAAACACGATCTCGGTCGTCTGGATCCAAGCGGGTACCAAAAACGAGCTGCCTGAACACAGCCAAAGCGAAAGCAAAGGAAGCAACAGTCGGCACGGACGACTACGCCACATTGAATCGCTAGGATCCTGCCATGCGGTCAATCATGCCCTCCGTATCGCATGGGCAAAGCGGGCACCGCCCACGTCCTTACCTGACAAAGTGGGCAGACATTCCAAGAGAGTCGATATAGCGTTACCAGGGAAGCACACCCAACTATTATACGACCACCTGTCCCGAAGCGAGGCCGGCGTGCTTGCTCAGCTTAGAACAGGCATGGCCAAGCTCAACACATACCTGCATCGCATCAAAGCAGCACCGTCAGACCAGTGTACGTGTGGACAAGCCAGAGAGACAGTGGACCACTTCCTCTTCCGATGCAAGCAATGGGATCAACACCGTAGGGAGATGCTGCAATGTACGGATGTCCACAGGGGGAACCTCTCCTTCTACCTGGGAGGAAAGTCGCCCTCGGATGACAAGGACTGGTCCCCCAACATGCGGGCGGTGCGGGCGACGATACGTTTTGCCATTGCCACAGGTCGTCTGAGGACTGAACAACAACAGAATGAAGCAAACTTAACCTCACCATCCTAAACCCCGACTAACAACCCCCTTCATCTCGTGTCACACGGAGTAAGCGCGCTTCAGCCGCCGAAGATAGGACGTTGGACACTTGGAGACTAGCCTTCAAGCCAGCTTACTATTCGTACAACTAACCCACGAGCATCCGCAGCAGAGAGGGCAAAATTGTAAGGAGATAAGCCAGAAAAGGAGGATGTACGGGCTTCATGAGATCAGGATCCATTTTAGGATATGTATTAGTAGATTGCATGATAGTTGCCCTTTCGGGTTAGGCCCGCCGGGCGGAATAAATTGTGTGTGTGTGTGTGTGTGTGTATATAAGGCAGGTACCCTTGGCCAACTTCGCCGCGCCTGCATGGCCATATCCCGGCTAGAGTTTGAATTGCCATCACGATGGAACCCGTCAGCGCGCTCGCTTTGGCGTGCAACATTCTGGACTTGATCGAACGCGGGTACAAATGTGCGGCCACTATTAAGGAGGTCCACGATTCGGAGGCCGGCCTCCTGAAGAAACACGAAATGCTTGTCGGCGAGATCGACACACTCTCCGACATTGCCTGCGCGTTGGAAAAGACGCAGCAGGAAATGCAAATCCGCCGTCGACGCACGGATGAGGGAAGTCGCGAAGAAATGCCTCTCCATTTGTGCCGCCATCCAAGCCCTCGTCAACCAATGTAAACCGGAGAAAAAGGGGTCTCATCCTCTCTGCCGCCCAAGCTTTCGTTCGCATCCGTTTGCGAAAGTCGGACATAGAGACCCTGCAGTCGGAGCTCGAGAGTGCTCCAGAAGATGATGGATTCATTGGTCATGACTAAGACGCTGTATGTTGCGACCCTACCGTACGTAGACTCACAAGCCTCTGACGAACTTGAATCTAGGAGAGACATAGCCAGACTCAGCGAACAGCTAGGTGACGTGCAGCAGAAAATCGAGAGGCATGCGCGCCAATCGAACTCCCAGGTATTGCTTCTTTCCGAGAGGCTTCGCGCGCTGTCCAGCAGCCTCGATGGGGCAGCTCAGTCTGGTCCGGTCCTTGAACAGCTCCGAGAAGTCCTCGGTGCCGCCACCGAGGCCACTGAGGCCTTCAAGGTCATCCAGGTTCTAGACAATCTTCACTTTCCAACGATAAAGGAGAGGTTCGCCAATGTTAGCGGGACTGCCCCGGGCACATTTGACTGGATTTTTGATGAAGATTCGGAAACCTTTCTCGATGAGCAGCCGGGCTCAAAGATTACTTTCCGGGGCTGGCTTAGATCAGGCACCGGGATATTCCACGTTGAGGGGAAACCCGGGTCGGGCAAATTGACACTTATGAAACATATATGCGAGCACCGCGAGACTCGGCAGATCCTCCGCGAATGGGCCGGAGAGAAAAGGCTCATTACATGGCAATTCTTCTTCTGGAGGCCAGGGACCCCCGAGCAGAAATCCCTCCGCGGTCTTATCCGCGGACTTCTCTGGGGAATAATTCGGCAGGAGCCTCAGCTCGCAAAGTTACTCTTTCCTAGGTTGTGGCCGTCGACCGAGTTCCCGGAGTCCGGCCGCTCGCAGTTCATCGACCTGTCCGACAAGGATGTTGATGAGGCACTTGGTATCTTGGTAAGAGGGCCGGGAGATGTTGGACGAATACCACTTCTGCTTCTTCATCGACGGTCTTGACGAGTTCGAAGAAAGCAAGGGCGTTACGCAGTACCAACTCACGCAGCATCTCCAGCAATGGGCGTCAAACCCGTGCTGGCACGTCAAACTTTGCGTCTCAAGCCGCCAACTTCCTGTCTTTTCTAACGCCTTTTCGCCAGCCCAAAGGCTCACCATTCATGTCTTCACCGGCGACGATATTGAGGCGCTTGTCAAACAGAGGTTGGAGGGAAATGGTGAATTTCAAGAGCTAGCCAAATCCGAGAAAGATCGATGCGATGCGATGGTTCGCCAAATTATTCAGAGCGCCGAAGGCGTTTTCCTCTGGGTTTGCGTATTGCTTAACAAGCTCGAGGATTCGTTAGGCAATGGAGATTCGATCGCCATGCTGGAAAGCATCGTCAAATCTGCACCCAGCGAGTTAGACGACTTGTTCAGCCATATACTCACCTCCATTCCCCTGCACTACCGCCGCCAAGCATTCATCCTTCTTGCACTAGCCATGCGGTTAGATGGTTTTCTGCTATCGGAAGAAACGAGAGACCCCGACGCAGGGGCTTCCAAGGGCGGATATGAAAACGACGCCTGGAGCTTGAGCTTACTCTCGTGTTCCTACCTTCTCGAGGGTTTGGATGACAACAACAAGAGTCTCGAAAAGGTCGTGAGAAAGGTCCCTAAAGTCTCTTTCCCAGCAACACTGCCAGCTATCGGACTCGAATTGAACTTGGCAGTCGGGGGGTAGCTGCTCGGTGGTAAAGGGACTCCTTTGAGAAGCAGCCAGGGGAAGGTTTGAAATTATCCCATCTCTCTGGTCCCTGAGTACCTCCAGAAATATTCGCTAGTCATTACGTTTTCTCAGCTCAATGACGAGATCGCTTCTTCCGCACTCGCCTGGATGATGCTCATTGATCTCAGTTACCGGGAGGACGAGGAGCTGGAGGGACACGCCTCAAAGGATGGATTCTGGGTCTCGCTCCGACTCAGCCGCGGAGACCTGTCCGCACCTACTGTCTTGATCAACCAAAGTCTCGAGTTTGGAGACGTTTATAAGTGCATCCTCCTGTTATTATTCCAGATTCGACAAGCTCCTGTCACCAACTCTGACTCAATTATGCCGCTCTTGCAACAGATCGAGCAGGAACTCTTACATCACCAATTCGGGGTCAGGACGTTCAATGAAATCCCCGAAGATCAACGCCACTACCACGGCATGGTCAGTTTGTATTCCATGGCGGCCACCCTGGGGTTCATTGAAATCATTCGTTGGGACTATGAGAACAAATCCCTCTCTCTCACAAGGGGCCAAGACTGGGTGATTGCAAATGTTCTTGGAACGGTAATTTCCACGCTCCCACTTTATCGCTGGAAGGCAGCAAGCAACAGGTTTTTGGGACCCCCCCATACGGCCATACTAGAGTATTTCCTCCGGGCTGGTGTCTCGATTGCTACGGAAGTTGAACTCAACCCTGAGGACTCGGCCTGGATAGAATATCCGGAACTGCGCTCTGAGCTTGAAGCAGAGCTTGAGCTACCTAAACAAGACCGCCGGGGATCGGATGACTCGAGTTCGGCGAAGGAAACTTCTCACCGGGCAACCCTGCGAGATCTGTTGGTTGTTTCTCTCCTGACCAAGCTTCGCCGCGAACGATCGGAGCCATTTCATCTTTGCCTGGATCCCTTTCCGCCTGCTGCTAGGGAGATCCTCGGAGTTTTCATGAGGTATGGTGCGACCTTCTCGATAACTATGTCACCAAGCGATCAATGGCGGCTAGGCGAGGACGAAGACGTTGAGCGGTTGAAATTTGACCCCGATCGTGACATTGAGCTGCTGCCATCTGGTTGCGAGAACGATGGTGACGACGACGACGATGATGATGGGGGCGACGACAACACTTGGTTTATGACCGGCCGGTCAAAATACCAACTTCTGAGGCGGATTGACCTTACAAGAGACGAAGACCGGAGCAAGATCATCACGCTCGGTGCTGTTATCGGTTCTTCTCCTGGGCAGCTGCGGTCATTTTGGGAATTACTAACTTCCTCTGGTGGTTCGATCACACTGAGAGATTTTCTGTGCTTCATAAAGGTCCCAGGTTTGGACATTCCATTGTCACCCTTTGGTGAGGGTCAACCCGATAGTGGCCTTCTGGCGGCTCATTCCAGTTCTTTACCCGAGGAAAGCCTGGACGAAGCAGAAGCATCCGGCAATCAGGATTTCGAAAACCAAGCTACCGAACAACCACGCTTTCTCTCCTGGGCAACCCTAGGTAAGTGGCGTAATAACCACCGAAGTGCTTTATTAACACCTAGTAGTGGTGATGCTGGCAGCAATTCTAGCTTATTTTCTACCAGCATTCCTTTAGTTTGGCCGCTCTCACTGCTCTGATATTGCCGGACAGAGATGGGCTGCCGTGACAAAGGCAAGGCCTCTTTTCTCAAATAGGTACCTAAGCAAACGCTTCCCTCATCCCTGTCTAATAGAGACAACTTCCCTACGAGACCCCGCCCCGGGGTTGGATCCCGCGATGAGAAATAGCGCCGACCTGAGGATATGGCAGTGTTTCCAAAACCCCTCGTGTCTAAATCCCGGAGATGTGATTACCTAGGCTTTTGGTGGAATCCTGGGGGGGACTGAGGTCCCCTTTTCAGGCCACACGCCCGCCAAAAACAGCAGTCCAAACTACGGCACACGATGTCTGTGTGGAAAGGGCTGCGTGGCTGTTACGGGATTCTCTTACATGATGTCTTTGATCACAAACCCCACGTTGGCGAGACTGATATGCTACGTACGGACTCCTCCCACGGACTCTTTCCATGCATGGCCTGCTTAACCCAACGTTCGGCCGGAGATAATGAGCCTTGGCGACTTCACAACGACGCGCGATTCCCGCTAAGATTGCATCACCCCATCGATAGAGAAACATCAATAGGCTGAAACTGCTTTCTGGTCGATTAAACACAACTCCCTTTGACATGGTGACAGCACGATCAAGGCCGAGGGCATATCTTCAGCGATACCGGCCAAGTAGGGATTGGTTCCAACGCTCGCACGTCAGGAAGCAGCCATCTTCCATCATCATCCGTCACGGTGATCCAACCATAGAACGCGCGGGATGGGTACCAAGACGGAAATAACGGGGATCTTGCAGCATGGCGTCACGGACAGGACTGACACGGCGAAAGCGAAAGCGAACTCTGGGTGTAGACTCCAAGTACATATAATCGATGCTGCGATCCTCATCTAGACCTCTGATTCAACTCGCACAGCCAGCTGCGCGTGACTTACACCCACTCGAGAATCAAGTTCCACCAACACGCACACTACAGCCCATCGCAATATGGCCCCATCCGCCGTGGAGTCCGTCCAGCAGACGGTAGAAGATATCAAACAGAAAGTTCTCCCTACCCAGGAGAAGCAGGCCACATCGGGCGGCGAAGTGAAGCCTATCCAAAACACGAGCAGACATGAAGACGTCCTAGCTGAAAGGCTCGAGGGACACAAGGAGCCGCTCAAGCTGAGCGGAGCCTTGGACCACTTGGAGCACTTTGACGTGACTCCTGTCATCGGCAGAGAGTACGTCGACGTCGACCTTGTGGAGCTTCTACGGGCCCCTAATTCGGACGAGCTGCTCCGGGATCTTGCCATCACCAGTTTGTGGCCTTATTCACGCCTGCAAAGACATCATGCTTACTTATCCTAGTCTCCCAACGCGGTGTCGTCTTCTTCCGCTCCCAGGACAACCTCACGGATGACCTGCAAAAGGAACTGGTCGACCGGCTCGGCAAGCTCTCCGGCAAGCCCGAGACATCAGGCCTGCACATCCACCCCGTCAGCAACGCGGCCCGCGAGCACGGCGGCAACGACAACGAGATCAGCGTCATTTCGTCCGAGCAGACCAAGAAGCTCTACGCCGACCGCCTGCAGGGCGCCTTCACCGGCGGCCGGCACCGCCAGAGCGGCAAGAACCAGTGGCACTCCGACATCACCTTTGAGCCCATCCCCAGCGACTACGCCCTGCTGCGGCTGACGCAGCTGCCCAAGACCGGCGGAGGTACGTCCCCTCAACCAACCCCCTCCCCACCCCTTTCCCCACCGCCCCTAGTTGCCAGCCCGAACACTAACCCCCCCTTCCCCATCCACAGACACGCTCTGGGCCTCAGGCTACGAGCTCTACGACCGCATCTCCCCGACCCTCCGGCACTTCCTCGACACGCTGACGGCCACCTACGCGCAACCCCTGTTCAACGAAGCCGCGCGCCGCAACAACTTCACGCTGTACTCGGGCGCGCGCGGCGCCCCCGAAAACACGGGCGACACGCTGGACGCGGTGCACCCCGTGGTGCGCACCAACCCGGTGACGGGGTGGCGGTCGGTGTTCGCGGTGGGCCACCATGTGCAGCGGATCCATGGGCTGTCCGACGAGGAGAGCAAGCACTTTCTGGAGTGGTTTGTCAGGTTGGTGGTGGAGAATCATGATTTGCAGGTGCGGTTGCGGTGGAAGGCGGTGAATGATGTGGCGATTTGGGATAATCGGAGTGTGTACCATGCGGCGACGCCGGATTATATCTTTGAGGAGGGTTTGGGGGAGAGGAAGGGGAGCAGGGCGGTGAGTTTGGGGGAGAGGCCGTATTTTGATCCGGCGAGTACGAGTCGGAGGGAGGCGTTGGGGACGGTGGTCGCTTGATTCAATCGTTGGTCGGGGGGAGAGAGGGGGCTTGGGTGAATAGGGGGTTGTCTCTAGGGACCAAGTGGATGTGATCGCCTGGTATCATGGGCTGAGGATTGACTTGATGAGATAGGCTGCGACGGCTGCTGAATTGATAGTAATCCAAGTGCGCTAAAGCCCCCTTGCACCACAACACCCATACACATACATACAGATTAGGTGCCCTCATCTCGGCTTCAATATCACTTAGCCCACCACACCGCCCCTACTCTCATGCCGCCATTATCGGTAGGCGGCGACGTCTTGACACGGCGTCTAAAATCATAGTCCAACGCTGTCGCATTTTTGCTAACTCTCAGCTCAGGGTTCGTACGGAAAGTTGTAGAATTGATCGTAGTCCGCGCCCACTTCAGGTTCTTCAGCTGTGGGAGCAGGTTCGCCATTCCAGGGTCGGAATACTCCTGAGCGAGGTTCACCAGGAGAGCCGGGTTGCCTCCCGAAGAGCGGTTGGTAGGTAAGCTCCACGGTCTTTACTGTGTTTTGGTGCCCCGTGGCGAGATTCATAGCCGCGGTAGAATCCGTGTCGGTGCCTTCAGGATGCCCCTGCCCAGGCGCCATGCTGCCCGCCGAGGTAGCGCCAGAGGTCATTATGTCCGAGTACGATTCCATGGTGAGCCCGGGTGGCGACTCAATCCCACTGTATATGGGGCCCAAGCCCATAAATTCACCTGGAATTGGGGATATGGGTGGTGCTGGAAATGACAATTCTTCCCGAAGTGCGAATGGAGATCCGGCCACATATGCGTCGGGGCCGTGTAGATCGATGCTGGTAGGCGCGGGCGTAGGCGAGGGTGGCGGTGAACACGAAGCTGTGATATCAGGGGCTGGGTTTACAATCTTCTCCTCGCGGGGCGAAGTGTAGACATCGTCGTAGACAGACTTTAATATACTGACCAGCTGAGGATTCGCGGCGGTCATTTGCCACAATTCGTCAAAGACTTCCGCCGCAGCGACAATGTAGGCGGTCGTGGACTGCTCGGCACCCCTGACGATGTGACCATAGAGGTGGCCGGTGATCTGGTCAACAACAGCAGAGCCGCTGTCTCCCAAGCCCACAGGACCGTCGAGATGAACGGGGTGAAGCCTCTGGAAATGAGGTAGTTTCGCGTTCCGGAAGTATACAACAGTCGGAACCAACACGCCGCGGATCACGCCGCTGGAAGCGGTGGCAACGGCCACTGCTTGTTCTGTTTCCGGTATGCCTAGGACCCCCTCGATACACAGAGTTCTCGGGTTTTTCACATCGGGCAGAACGATTTTGTTTGGTAAAAAGTATTCCTGTTCCCGGTGGGGGGCAAAGATGAGGTCCCATGGAAGCAGCGTGTAGTCGAGGCCAGGATTTGGGCCATTGCGGCTATCGTATGGCGAGACAGCAAGGTGCTTCGGGATGTAACCGGCTGAGTGTGGATCAAATGGCGTCTGTGACACATGCGGCCTTCCGTCAGGCTCGTTGCTCGTAGCTGAATCTATTTCATCATCATCTTCACTCATATCGTCGAAATGGCACTCCTCCAAGAGGCTCTGCCGATCCGAGTCGCTGGGCGCTGGAACCGGTTCGTCGTCCAGGACATGAGAGACGGTAAGTTGGTGGTCACGCTCATGAATTCGGATAATTACACCTCCCGTTGCAATCCGAGGGCCGACGTAGAGACGTCTCCCAACTGGGTAAGATATGACTTCGGGAGCCAAATCATCGATATGATTCGAGTCGTAAGTTTGGCGTTTTTGGGGCGGGGGCTCGTCATCTTTATCTTCTTCGTCTTCTTCATCTCCCCTAGCCCGCTTGCGGCTCCCGTGGACTTGTGTCCGGTGTCCGGCGGACTGTGTTGCGCCGGACATGCCTGCCAGTGCGCGAACCAGACCAGGCTGCTCCAGTGGCAGCGCGCTTGCACCCAAAGCAAACTCTGGGTATTCTTTCGGAATCCGACTCTCGCGGATTGCCTCCTCGGCCTGTGTTCTGACCCGAGGGTTGGAGCAACAGACCATGATGACTGGCCGCGACTTTTCCGGGCTTTTCCCAATCATGTACAGCCGCAAGTAAATGTCGGCGTCGCCAAGCTCGACATTCTTCAGCAGCTCCTCGATTTCCCCGACGATTTCGCTGTCAAATTTCTGCATGGCCGGTCCGCAAGGCCACCACGCTCGTTTCCTAAGACCACGGAGGGAAACGTCGATCTCGCGGGAGCACGACAGCTCTGCACTTTTCCATCTTTTCTGGAGGCCCGTGACTTTGCGGAGTTGCGTGCTAGCCGTTAGTCGGAATATCGTGGCTGGACGGGGCAATGGCCCATTGTGAGGAGGGGGTAATGACCCGTTGTGGGGAGGGGGCATGTGGGCGACATGTTCCGTCGTGAGCGTCATTTCAGCTTGAATGTTGGTCCATCAGTGGTCTAGGGGTTGGGCGTAGCTGGGCCAAGATGAAGATGGTCGTTTTGTGTTGACGCTTGATATGGAAGAGGGGAAGACACCCCCTGCATTGTATGTACCTGTTGCGTGCAGCTAAAAACTCGTTAATTGGTGGCGCAGCATGCAGCACAAGTTCAGCGCGACGGGGCCAACACCAATTAAGCAATTGTATTCGTCAATGGGCGGCTAAGCGTGGTGGCTGGGCAAGTTGGGCGGCTTGCGAGGTGGACTGGCTGGGCTGAAACAATCCGAACGAGTGCATCGTCGGATCTGATCTTGATCTTGAACTGATTGCTTGTGCATGTAGCCATCTTCATTTTATATTTGCTCCCTTGTCAACTTGGCAAGACAAGAGCCATGACGATGGATGCCATCGCGCTTCTAGACGCCGATGCATTGGACCTTGTCAGCTTGCTCTGGCAACCATCTTCATCCGGCACCGGGGAACTCTTCAACGGCGACACTGAGAGCAAGCTTGGCCACGAAGCTTATTGCGACTACTTTCGACGTCAATGGCACCTCCTTGCTATCTATGGAGACCATCAACCTGCGGCATCAAGATCACCCCAGGCCATTGCCCGGTTGATGGAACATATCCGGGACGGGAAACCCCGAGAGGAGATGATGGACATGCTGAGGCTAGCCGGTGCAGAAGAAGAGGCGTGTGAACGATCTCTCAACCTGGCAGTTCGGCTTCTCGTCATGATGCGGTTCGGGCTCGCCAAACATCAAGTAGCACCACGCCGCTTTTTACGATGGGAGCAAGGTTCTCTCCAAACATTTATTCACGGGGTGTTTAATGAGGTTCCAAAGCTTAGCTCTGAGCAAATAAGACTCCCAAAATCCTTTGATGCATGGTCGATTGCAAACATTGCCGGCATCAAACTCGCCTTCACCGACAATCTGGCCGATCATCTCCTGCTTGTCGACGATGACACCAGGCTACTCATATTCCATCATGCATCTTTTCTCGAGTATCATCGCAGGTGAGAGACATTGCGAGACATTCCTACTTTTTCTTTCCTTTCTATCCAGTATCCATTCTCTTGCTCTCACTTCGATTCTCTCTCATCTGAGGATATCACGCAAAAATGACTCTCTTAATTGCCCGTTGCCATCCGCCACTCTTCTTCTGCCCTCTTCTACACCTGTATTCATCCTATTCTCAGCACAATGAAAGCCGTCTCTTAACCACCACCGCACTTTAGCAAAACCTCCGTCTTCCCAGACGACCTAATCAACGAGACCCTACGCACCCTGGCTCTCCTGTTCCCGCAAGCGGCATTCAGCAACCAACAACGGACGCGCACACCGCGGAGGAAATGGCTACAGGGCCTACGAGTGAAACACCGCGAAACCCAGCATACCGTCATCGACCCCCGCCTCGCCCTTTGCGGGACTCCCCAGGGCGAAGACCGACAGATTGAGCGCTTCCGCTTCTGGAGGGATCGCCTAGTTATTCTGAAGCAAACATACGATGACGCCACGCCCAAAACTCTGGGGCAGTGGTGGCGTGACAGGCGGAACGGCGTCCAGTGGTATACCTTTTGGGTGGCAATCTTGGTGTTGGCGATTACCACATTCCTGGGCGTGGTGCAAGCTATCGAAGGGGCGTTACAGGTTTATAAGGCGTATTACCCTACTGAGGCAGTTTCAAATGTATAAACTGTATTGTTAGGCGTTGAGCTTCCAGGCAAGCTGTACGTGGAATTGGGCCTTCTGGCACAACATTGGCTTCGCCGGCTGCCGTGAAAACCCCCTGGTAGGCCTTCCGTCACTCCTGGCACCTTCTCTGACGCAAATATCCTGCCCTGGAATGTCACCGGAGCATTCTCCGGGTAAAAACAGGAACCGCCTACCATCGAGAACTGCCCTCTTCTTTACATGAATATACCGCACTTCCAAACGAGGGAAACAAGAAGGCCACCCGTAAAAGGGAATGAAGGAGGGAGATTTACAGAGCTGCCTAGCTCCTGTTAGACAGACGTTCATTCCCATACTATGCAATGCCACGGGCCTGGAACCTCCACACGAAGCCAAGAAGCCCATTTCGCTGCCGACATCATCACCTTGTTCGCTTCAACGGGATGTCGAATGCTGCTCGGTAGTGCAGCCGAGACGAGGTAACATTTTAATTCAAGAAAACGTATTACCTCCCGTGTCTTTGCGCCAGGCGAACAACACCCGCAGCGGACTCGCTGTCAACACATATTTACCCCAGGTTTCGTGAAACGTTGCCTTTTAGTTTCAGGGACATGTGTGCTACTACTTCGCACGATACCTGTCAACCTCGTTTGGTTTTGCACCATTACGCCAACTACCGGCCGAATGCAACTCCAGCCCCCCTGGCGAGCTGTTATTGCACCTTTCACACTGGTGAAGTGAAATTCGTACATCTCCGGCTCGTTGGCCGGAAATAAGTGAGGAAAAGGATCTGCAAAGATGGAAAAGACAATTAGCCATGATGAACCAAACATTTCCGCTCCAATCGCTGTATGGGAAAGTCCAGGGGTTCCCAATGAAGACCATCCCCGTTCCTAAAAGGCCTCAACTGATATTAACTCCCGCATATTGGCTTGCCAATGCACGCGCGTTCGTACCTGACGCGATCGTTCAGTCGGAATGTGAGGGTACGCTCCCATCCGGGTCATCAATATAACGGGATGGGTGACCAGCCTGTATCTTGTATTTTGGATGGCGTCCTTCGCCCTTTTTTGAAGTTAGTACATCGTCGACGATGCGTTTGTTTACTTCAACCTTCATAGCCGGAACCCTGCTGGGGTTTGGCCTGGCCCAGCTCGAGGTCTCCCCTGACGGTAGCTGTGGCCCTGCAAACGGGTACTCGTGTACCGGATCTGAGTATGGCAACTGCTGCTCCGAAGGTGGAGAGTGCGGCGGAACGGACGAAGTTTGCGGTGCAGGATGCCAGGTGGATTTTGGACTCTGCGGGCGTGGTGTGGGTGGTGACCCTACTGATCCGCCTGAAAACGAACCGACAACGACAAGGCGGACGGAACTTCCGGGAACCACTACTACAAGGCGGACAGCCCTCCCCACTAGCGATCTGCCTGTGGTGTCTACCATCTACGTCACGTCCACCATCTTGACTACGATCCAGACCACCGCGGTCCAGAGCACGTTGATTACGGTCACCTCAACGAGTGTCGACCGGCTGACGACAACCATCCCGACCACTGAAGTCCTGACAAGCACGGTTGTTTTGAACACGACATCAACGCAATTTACCACTACAACAGCAACCAGCTATTCCATCATTTTCGCCACGGTTTACAACACCATCAACGTGACCAGCGTCTCAACCGAGTGGGAAACGGCCACCACGACTTCGACACAAACCCTGAACACGACACAATACTTCAACCAAACCCTCACCTCCACGTTCACCCAGCCTATCACGCTCACCTCCTACGCCAGCGTGGACGTCACCCGAACCATCAACGCCACGTCGACGAAACTCCTGACGCAGACGGCCACCATCCCCTTCACCATAACCTCCACCGCCACACGCACAGTCAACTCAACCGTGCTCACCACCGAGACCGAAACAACCGAGATCCCGGTCACCGTCACAACCATCGACACCGAATTCACCACCCAAACCGACCTGATCACAGCCACCACCACCGCCATCACAACCGCCACCCAAAACATCACCTCCACCGCCGTCCAAACCCAAACCCAAACCCAAACCCAAACAATCACCGCCACCGCCCTCGAAACCGCCACCGTAACCATCACCGAAACAGCAACAGCAACCCCCACCGAACCCACCACTCCACCACTCACCATCACCGCCACCGCTACCATCACAGAAACAATCACCCCAACCGAACCCACCACCCCACCAGCCACCATCACCGTCACAGAGACAGCCACAGAGACAGCCACCGAGACAGCCACGGCAACCCTGACGCAAACTAAAACACAGACGCTGACACCGGAGATCCCGCCGCCAGAGCAGACGTTGACGGTGGGGCCGGGGCCGGATCCCACGACGGGGACGGGGACGGGGACGGGGAGTAGTAGTGCGAAGGTGACTTTGACGGTGGGGGGTGCGTGATGAGGGGGGATTAACTTCAGGTGGGATTGAGGGGAGCAGGGAAGAGTGAGAGGGTTGGGTGTGGAGTTGTGGGAGTTGGGGCGGGAGGCGAGTTGTGGGAAAATATATGTATGCAAAATGGAAGATGTTAATATAGTGCGAGTTCTTAATATTTGGTTCCTTATGACTATGGGGCGTGTTGGGGGCGAGTGTCTGGGGCTGGAGATGGTGTTGTGGGCTACAAATCAACAGCTCGATGATGCCCATCATCGATGATATCACTGCCCACGGCAATGGGAACTGGAGGCCTAACAAGGGTATCACGTTCTATGCCTATCGCTCCCATCTAGCAGCCACCGCACACCCATAGAACAAACCATATCACACGATGCAGGCTGCCCGCTCCCCGCTCACAGCTTCCTAAACACCGTACTAAAAATCTCCCTGCTCTTCATCAGATTCATAACCCTCAACCGCTCATTATCCAAATGCGCAGCATCGGTCGCCTGCCCGCACGGGAGATGCGCCGCTGGCGCATTGAACTCCTTCTCTAGGTACCGAATCGGCGGAATGGACCCCCCCTCGCGGATATACAGAGGCTTCCGGGCCTTGGGCTTGTCCTCGCCATCCGTCGCATTCGGCGGCAGCGCCACGGCGGCCCCCTCAGCACTGGAAACACCGCCCCAAGCACGCATGACGGCCTCCTCGAGCGTGCGGAAGATGTAGTTCCCCGGCACGCCGAGCCACGGCTCGGCCTTGTTATCGATACGGATGGTCAGGGTGTTGTCACTGTCGAAGGTAGCGTACTGGTCGTGCAGGTAACCACGCAGGGACGTGATGACGTCCTCGACCTCCTGACCCGGCACCAGGCGCACGCTGACGTTGGCAGTGGCGTGGCTACTGATCAAGCTGCCATCGGGGCCCGACACGTTGTACCGGTGGATGGTCAGGTTGGGCTCGCGCCAGCGCGCCATCAGACTGCGCTTGAGCGCCTCGATCGGTCCGTGCGACGGGTTGCGGCGGATGAGAATGCCCGCTATGTCGTCGTACCGTTGGTCTTCCTCGTCGGTTAGTGGGAGGATGCCGTCGTAGAAGCCGGGGATTTTGACGTGGTTCTTTGAGTCTTTCAGTTTGCTGAGGAGAAGGGTGAGGTCGGTTAGCGGCTCAGAGAGGAGGTTGCTGCCGTCGACGCCCGAGTGGAGGTCTGGGTGCTTGGAGTCCACGCAGATCGTTGCATGGAGAACGCCGCGCAGGCCGTAGGTGAGACAGGGCACTTCATCGTCGAGCCAGTAGCTGTTGGCCAGGAGCACGTAGTCGATGTTGCCGATCAGGTCTTTGTGCGCCTGGATCGTGTCTTGAAAACCGCGCGAGCCGGACTCTTCTTCGCCTTCGATAACAAAAATGATGTCTGAGTCGAGAACCTTGGCTTGAAGGAGATCCGAGACCGCGTAGATGGCGGCGATGATGGGCCCCTTGTTATCGCTGACGCCGCGGCCGTAAAGGTACCCGTCACGGCCCTCCAGTTTGAAGGGATCCGTCTGCCAGTTATCTCCCTTCATGTCCGCCGGGACGACGTCATAGTGACCGTAGAACAGAATCCGCTTTCGTTTCTCCGATGGCTCCAGTTTACCGTTGAACTTGGCGAAGACGATAGGGTTATGCAACCCGCCGGTGCTTAGCATCTCTACCTCGGCGCCTAGTCTCTTGAAGAGGGAGCCAAGATAGGTTGCCCCCTTGCGACAATCCTCGGTGAACTCGGGACGCGACGAGATGGTCTTGTACGAGACAAACTCGCGGAGAGATGTGATCATCATGTTTTCGGATCCGTCGATTTCCTCTTCGGTCTGTGTCGGCATGCCATTAACGCGCCAGACGCGGACCGTGTTGTCGTTGGCTCCGGTGATGAACAGCTGGTCGTTCTGATGGGTTGCAACAGCCGAAGACAAGATCTTGCCGTCGTGGGCTTTCCACCGGTTGAGGCATTGGTACTTCTGGCTGATATTTTGGGACAGGCCGTTCTTGTCCCTGCCGTAGTGTACAGTGCTGTGTTTCTATTCACGCGTTAGTTGACGGCTACCGGATACTGAGCAAAGCGCGTACCGAAGCTGACCCTCCTGTGGCCCCACTCCACAAGAGGCCGAAACTCATCCTAAGAGTGTTGACATTCCCATTGTGGGCCTTGATGACCCGCAGCTTCTGCTTCGTGTCGAGGTCCCACAGCTCAATGATGCCTTGCAGCTTGCCGGCGTAGAGGAAAGACCCGTCCACGGCCATGGACATAACCGACTCGCTATCATCGTCGCCCAAAGTCATCAGTTCCTCGATATCCCCCAGCACGCCATCGTCGTGGTCGGGACCCTCGTCGGACAGCCTCCACAACTTGATTGTGCCGTCTCCACCACCGGTAACCAGCACCTCCTCATCGGGGTCACCAAGTACGGTAGGCCCCTTGGCTATCAGCATGCAGAATATCCAGCCGTAGTGTGCGTATTGCCGAATCGCCCCAGAGTCGATCTCCAGCACCGTTGTTGCCTTCGGTATGAGCGTGTAGTGCTCCTCCATCCGCCGAGGTGTAGACGTCCCTCCGACAGCGCGCGAGTCGAAAAACCGGTGTTGGCGCTTGTCTGGGTGATTTGCAGAGTCGTGGGGCACTTTCCTCGACTGGTCGGTTAAATTGACCCATTGTATGTCCTGCGTCTGTGTCCCGAGATAGAGTGTCTCACGCTGGGGCGAATAGGCAACGCTGAAGACATCGCCGACGTCATATGTGCTGTAGATCTCGTAAAGTCGAGTAAAAGTTTTGGGGCACCAGACGCCAATGATGGGTTCGCAGGCGCTCGAGAACAGGTACTTGTTGTCTTCGGAGAGGAGCAAACACAGGACGCTTCGTTTGTGGGCTTGGAGGGTCTGGACAAGCTGGTAGGTGCCGAGCGACCAAATGGTGATCTCGCCTTTGGTAGTGCCCGCGAAAATGTATTTATCAGAGACGGCTATGGCTAGAACGGACCCGTCGTGGCGGAGTTCCTGAAGTTGGTCGGGAGCGGTGTCGGGGCAGCCATCGTCGAGCTCGCGGCCCTGCAGGCTCGGCATTGTCGGTGTCGTTTCTGGAGAGAGCGCGAGTGTTAGCAACGAATTGAGAGCAACGAGCCGCGTTTTTGTATCTGTTGTCACCTCGAAGAAGAGGTGAGTCGGATCATCCTCATCAGACCGCTGCTGACGCCATTTTTGGGAAGCGTTGCAATGCCAGCCCAAGCCCCGCGCTAATTCGGAGCCCAGAACACGCCCTTGCAAGGGTCGCCTTCCCCACGTTTCAAGGCTTGCTGCTGGGAAACTCCACTAAAAAGAGGGTTCTGGGCCCGCGAATAGCACCCCACGGAGCACGCAGCCTTGACCCAGTGTCGCACACAGTCTTGCTGCATCCGGCTTTTCTTCCGGTACCATCAAGCCGGGACGGATCGCGCCGCTCAGGTGGGGGTTTGTGGTAGGAGTGTCATGGGAATGGCCCGATCGAGATGCGGAGGCGCACGTGAGGGAAACAGACGACAGCTTACCAGGCGGGAGATCGTGGGGTGGCTGCACAGCAGCCGCGGCCCTGGCTTTGGGGATCTTGCTGCATCCTTTACAGCGTTCCTCCTGCCCATCAAGCTCTTCTTCCAGCGGGTCGTGGCGCCATGGATCGAACCGCTCCCGGAGGACAGGCACACCCACCGCCATGTCGCCGTCCACGACGTCGTCTGCTGAGCTCGTTGAGCTGGTAGGCCGACCAGCAAGACGCCAAACAAAATTTCGCGGGATAAGACGTGCGTGGTTGGGAGGGTCTTGGTTTTGTACCTCGGGCTCGACTGGTGCTCCGAAATCTCCCTCTTTGCGCGACTTCTCACCGGAACCGAGACATGACGCGAGATCAGGGGCAGCGTGCGCCATTACAAACACTCTCAGATTCTGGGGCGCACAGGTCGAAAGAAGAAGGACGGAGGCATCTCACCGCTTTTACAGGACCAAGAAAACAAACACAGGAAAGGTGACACGGTGGGTTCTCCAAAACGGATCGACAAGGAGAACAGCAGGGCATTTGCGCGGCGAGGCTGTTGCTGTTCATATACCTCATTGGCAGCAGCTGCCGAATCGGCGACAGAACGGACGCCACGAAGCATCCTAGACAAAGCCACTGCTGAATTTCACGCGTGGATGGTCGCAAGGCACCAGGGGTTGAAGGTCGGTCCCTTCTTGGCGGGTACCGGAATGGCTGGCGGGATCGCGTGGTCGCGGAGAGAAGGACGCTGCAGACCATCCCTGCGTTGGTGCAGCAGTGCCAGGGAGTTGATACCAAGAAGAGCGGCTTGCGGCAGCGCAGGGAGCCACTGATACGCAGGACGTCGAAGGTAAATCACTATCCAAAGGCTTTGGCGCCTGGTTCAGCGAGGGAAAGCCAAGAAAAAGTCTTCTGAACTGGTAGAGATATCATTGTGAAGAGCCATCCGTCTCATGAAATGTACAATCGCAAGGGCAGAGAAACCAGATTTCAAGGGCGTTCTTCATCCAAATAATGGGCCAGATCGAGGTTTTGCTGATTGTCGGTCTTTTGCCATGCAGGCGAAATCGGATTCTTGAACTCCGAAAATCGGTCGGCAATCGGCAGACCCACTGCATATCATATCGGAGCGTATTTACAGGTGTAATGTTTGACGGCAAGGTACGGCAATTCGCGTTAATTATTGAAGAGACTGAAACTGGCAGCCAGCAAAGCGGCCAGCAAAAGGGCCGGCAAAAGGGTCAGCAAAGGGTATTAAAAGGAACGGAATCAATATAAAGGGCGAGTTTTATAGAACTGGGAATCCCAAGACGTAGAAGACTAAAATTTCTGATGACATGCCGAGGGTATGGTACGGTATGGTATGTATGTATCACGTATGTATGTGTTTTTCTGCCAGTTTCCTTACGAGCCAGTTCCTCCAAACTGTGTACCAGACTCCAATCCTTTGTTGCCAGACTTACAACAGTTTTGCAAAGGCCTGGCGTTGAGGACCTTCGAGTTTCTAACGACCTTGGTCTTCGTATCGGTACATTCTAGGACACATAGTGAATTTATTAATGATGAAGCATATGGAGCGTTGGAGGCAATGATCATCTGCTGGGCATTAGTTATTTGGACTGCCCGCCAGGCTTACGGTACCCAGACTGAATACCCTCAGGCGGAGTGACGACGGCGACCAGGGTAACTGGATCTTTCCCGGCATGCCTCTTTTTTGTATTTCATCAGATTAGGGGCAACGAGTCTCCCTAAATGGCTTCGGCAAGGAACAGCATCAGAGCGGAGAATAAACTCGTGATTCCCGGTCTTCTAGTCAACCGGATTCTGGGGCTGCGGCGGCTGCTTATTGTTGACCATGTCCGGCGGATTGCAGGCAACGTATGCCATGTACAGATTATTGTCCTCCTCCAAGCCGCCGGTGAGGAACCTTGCGCCACGCGACCCTCCATTGCTCGGTTGGCAATTTGGACCGCTATTTAGACTGGTGCTGGTCCAGATTCGGAAGAAATTACTCCCTACCCCTGCCATGGATTCGCCAGCTATGGTCTGTGCTCCCACCCCTGCCGAACAATTTTCTTCGGTTTCTGAGATCATCGAAGCCGAGTTTGCAGACACCACCCCGATAACGACGGCGTTACTCCTCCATCAACGATAACCGCCCCCGCCAAAGCCCACCGACGACGGGAACCATCGGCCAGAAACTAGCCTCGACATCTTTCTGGACACCGATTTTCAGAATATCCCCACGCGCTGGGCGCAACCCGACTCTCCTCTTTCGATCGAAGACTTCTAACCGCGCGCCATAATGGATCACACACGAGACCCCTGCCCTTGGGTTATTCTCAATGATTTCGGCGGTGCTTTCTGTATGGGTGTACGTATCTCAACCAGTGCCCCGTCCTCCGACCTCTCCTGGCGACGCAACAGAAAACCCGAGGCCGCCGCCGCCCGGCTCTGAACCACGCCACCCGGACTCTTAACTAACCTCCCTGGCTAGGCTGTCGGCGGGACGATCTGGCACGGTGTCAAAGGTTTCCGGAACAGCCCCTATGGCGAGCGCCGACTAGGCGCCATCACAGCAATCAAGATGCGCGCCCCGGTATTGGGAGGCAACTTCGGCGTTTGGGGTGGTCTGTTCAGCACATTCGACTGCGCAGTCAAGGGTGTCAGGAAAAAGGAAGATGCGTATGTTCACCCAGCCCTTTCTCCTTGGTTCCGGGTGGCCCCTGGCTTGTTTGAGCGGACGGCGGCCCAGTAGCTCATTAGAAATTGCAACGAGCTAACCAGATGACAGGTACAACGCTATTGTATGTCGCCGCGACACCGATCGTACGCAGCCGACACTAACACGATGCAGATTGCCGGGTTCTTCACAGGGGGCTCGCTCGCGATTCGAGGTGGGTACAAGGCGGCGAGGAACGGCGCCATCAGCTGCGCCATCCTGTTGGCCGTCATCGAAGGCGTCGGGATCGGGTTCCAGAAGATGTTTGCGGGCAGCACAAAGCTGGAGGTAAGTTGGCAGGACAGTCTTGATGCATTGGGCAGTACTGACTGTTTGAAGGCCCCGCAACCACCACCGTCGGGCGAACAGATGCTTGCTTAGAATGACAACGCCCTTGGATCACAAGTGACGGCTTTTCGACACACCCAACTCTTCTCCGACCTCTCGACAGAGCCCGGACGTGTATTTATGCATTTATGACGGTTAGCATACTGGTGGCGGCGTTCGCTGTAACATAGAACCGGTCGGTGACGCTTTGCCACGGGCGAGTGGAAGGCCCCAGCCAGCGGAAAACATCTGCAAAATAATATCCATCTTCAAGCCAAAGCAATCTATACCCAGGACAGGGGCGATTTATTCATTCCTCTACTCGTTTGGTAGAAGTCTAACCTAGTTTCTCCCCGGACCACATGCGTGGGTTCTCCGGCTTGCCTTCGCCAACGTACGCATCAGGGACCTCCTCGTCGTCCCTGAATACTCGAGCGAATGCGACCCCGCGCTCGTCAACCCAAGCCCGAAACATGCCCCCACAGTTAAAATCCTGGAGCAGCTCGGAACGGGCCACGACCACGCGGCCCTCGCCATCCTTTACCACGGTACACTCGATGCCGATCATGCCGCCCTCACCTTCGCCGGTCTTGCCCCAACGATCTCCAGCGCTGTTTTGGAGCTCACCGCCTGGCCCAGTAACTTTGGTGACCGCTGCTGTGGAAGTATCCCCGTCGAAGCGTGCAATTGAGCCCACGGTTCTGGCGGCTGCTGTCCGAAGAAACGAGTCGCCATTGCCAGTCCCAGAGACAGCAACCGAGCGAGTTCTCGTCAGGTCGCCCGCAGCAGATGCCAGGGGGTTGTACATCCATGGCGTCGGGAAGCACTCGGCCATCACCCCCTTCAAAGCTCCGGACAACACCACCGCCGGACCATAGCTCGCCCATGCAGCACCCGAACCACCAGCACTTTCAACCCACTCCTCCGCCCAAAACCCCGCCCCGACGGTAGGCGTGTCCCCAATCCTCCCCGTCACCTTGTTCGTCAACCCCCCCGTGCTCGTAGCAACGCAGACAACACCCTCCTCATCCACCGCCACGGCGCCCACCGTCCCCTGAGGGACATACTCCTCTTTACACCACGTCCCCAGCCCACCCCGCTCCCTCTCCCTCTCCAACCCCCTCACATGCTCCTCCCACCGCCGCCTCGTCCAAAAATACCCCTGCTCCACCATCACCAATCCATACCCCTCCGCCAACTGCTCCGCCGCCGCGCCATGCAAATGCGTATGGCCCTGCGCACTCGGCACATCCAACCCCGTCCCCTCCCCCAACCCCAATCCCTTCAAATCCCGCTCCCCCCTCTCCAGCACCTCGCGCGCCAGCCGCACGGGGTTGCGTACGCGCCGCAGGCCGGACACGCCCACGCCGCGCTTGGCGTGGCCCCGTGATACCATGACCGAGGCCTCGAGCTCGTGCAGGCCGTCGCGCGTGAAGACGGCGCCATGGCCGGCGTTGAAGAGCGGGTTGTCTTCGAGGAGGGTGACGGCGTGGGTTGCGACGGCGAGGGAGGAGGGGAGTTTTGGGGGGGTGGAAGTGGGGGTGGGGGTGGTCATGAAGGTGTGGGCGTGGGAGATCTGGGGCCGTGGTTAGGTTGGTTTTGGGAAGGGAGGAGGAGTGAACTGAGGTTTGGGGGGGAACGTACGATGGTCAGGAGGGCGGTGCGGAACTCGGCGTAGCGCTTGGGGGTTAGGGTCGCGGGGGTGATGTTGCCGGCACCGCCGTGGATTATGAGGCGGGGTTGGATTCGGCGGCCGAGAGGGGAAGGCGGTTGGGCTTTGTACTCCATTTTGCGGGCTTTTCGTGGGTAGGTTAAGTTTTGTTGATGTTGATGGTGATGGAAGTGGATGGTTGAGGAGCGGCTGTGGGCTGAGGATGGAAACTCCGGGTCTCAATTCCCGTCCACGACGGACTTCCTATTTTAGTCTAGCTTGCTTAATAGCAGTTTGGTCCCCGCCGTTCCACATGCGGTATTGTGTCGCGTGCCAGGCAAGCCAGGTCATCCCAACACCTCATCCTGTTGGAAACATCCGAAATGTTAACACCGCAGCCCAGACAACATCGGATGATTAAGTTAGTAGTCAAGCTTCCTTGACATAATTTGGTCTTAAATCTCTCTTCAAAATCGAATCGAAAGCTTGTCAATTCAAGAAGTTAGGGGGCCTTTAACCAAGTTGTGATAACGTGAAGAAGTGACTCCATCCGTGGTGTGAGAATACTCGACGCTCGTACGTGTTAAAGTCGGGATGGCTGCAAGAGAACAGGTCAAAGCGGGCATTGGATCACAAGTTAAAAGTCAAAATCGAACCTTCCGGGCATTACCGTATATTTGTATTGCAGCCTTGACATTACATGTAACAAGCCACACCTCATCCGCCAGGTTCAAGGCTTGATAGGGTGCTTCAACCTATGTATACAAAGATCAATTGACATTGTACTTCCATTATTTCAAAGTTACCTCCTTACATATGAAACATCGTCATATTCAAAGTCATCCATAACCACCTAGGCTCTAAGCCAGCAGTACCAAGGCCGCCGACAACAAGCCGCCCAAAGCTGCAAGGGAGCCGCTCGCCACCATCCGGCCAGCGGCGTTGCCATCATCACCGTTACCGCCGTTGCCGCCATTGCCGCCGTTGCCGCCATTGCCGTTCTCGTTGCCACCCGGGCTCTGCGTCTCGTTGCTGGCGGTGGTCATGTCAATGGCTTTGATGCACGTCAGCTGCGCGACGGTCTGGGTGACCAAGTTGTCAGAGTCGGTGTCGTCGCCGTCGTCATTGTCGTTCTCGGGGAAGAAGACAGTCAGGATGGGGGTGATGCCGAAGAAATTGTCGACCAGCACCGAAGCGTCGAAGTCGCCCTTTCGACAAAGTTAGTATCACTATGTGATGGGGGAAAAGGGGGAGCAAGGGGGATAGGCAAAGGCTTACAAGGGTCATAACGGACTGCACCAGCGTCAGGTCGTCGGTCTTGGGGAGAACCGGCCAGCAGTTGGTAGTACGGTTCTGGCGGTCTTCGATCTCCTCAGGGGCGCCGTCGCCATTAATGGCTGCCAAGTGTGTCAGCTTTCACGCTCATGCAATTGCACCCCCCACCCCAAAAGGAAAAAGAAAAGGGAGTCACCTACGCCTCGCCTCAATCCCCGTCCACTGGGCTCCCACCGCAAAACTGCGAACAAGCCTCGTCCAAGTTATCCTCAAAATCCTGCTTCAACTTATCACACGCGCGCCGGCCCCGCAGCCCCGCCAAATCGACCTTCCTCGCGCGGTCCGTCAACGCGCTCACGCACGCATCACCCAGCGCATCCCCACAAGTCCCCTGCGCAATCCCTTGATCCCCTTCCCCAAACCTTACCCCATCCGACACCTGCGTAAAAAAAACCGCACACGCCTCCGGTATCCTCAAAGTCAAACTCATCCCGGCGTGCCGAGATAGAAGCTCTGGGTCGAACACGCGCGTCCTGTTCTCGGGGTGGTCCTGCGCGCCGACGGCCTTGACCCACGACAGGCCGCGCAGCCGGTCGTTGCCGCCCGCGTCGAGGCTGGTCAGGCCGACGGCGTTGAAGGTGCGGTCGGCGACGGTGCAGGTCGCCGACGTGGTGCCCTCGGTGATGGGGCAGTCGACGTCGGCGCAGCTGAGGATGGAGGCGCCGTGCACGTGCACGCTGGCGGCGGCTAGGAGGGTGAGCAGCGTTCGGGGTGGCATGGTGGTGGATTGGTTGGGATTGTTATTTGGGTGGTTTGCTGGCTGGGGGTTGGTGATAGTGGAGCGGAAGGGGTTGTTAAGGAAGAGCAAGCTGGATGTTTATATGCAGGAATACATCGAAATAGCTTGGAGAATCCTCGAGTGACGAATGCCGAGAGGACTGCAGAGGCTCGGCGGCGGGATTAACAGGCAGTGCAGTTGTCTCCGCCCCATTCTCCCGTCAGCCAACAAACGGCCCGGATGGCTGCTCGTTACGGTTGATGTCATTTAAAATACACTTCTGCGAGATCGCTCGCCCTGTTTGACCTGTCGATCTTGGCTTCACAGCTTTTTGCTTGGTACGCTTGGCATCCCCGCGTCGCGCCACTCAAACGCGCCAGGAAGCCAGGTGAGAAACATGCAACCTTCCTCACCAGACATTCACCGCCACGAACAAGAAAGGCTGACGCAAGCTCGATTTGGCCAAGCTGCTAGCACGGGGACACTTCCCACGCCACAACTCTACTCTCCAAACAAGATGGAGACGGCCCCGTAAACAACCGCCAATTTCTAGTTGGCTCCTTGGTTGGCAGCATGAGACGAGTTTCTGCTCATTTCCGGAGTGGGCCGGACACCCAATAGTACCTGGGTACCAATACCACTATAGCACGGCCCCCACATGTTACACGAGGACAGGACGAATAGTAGTTACCATCAACTCAGGAGACTGTTGATGTCAAAGCTGCATTGTCTTCTGGGCAGAATACCTAGTCAGGAAGCGTGTTTGTCTTTGGCCGGGTCACGGATACAGTAGTTAACCGGAGCTAAGCACAACGAATCCGACATCGGTGATTTACACCACCGTCCCTGCCCGGCCCTCCCAGTTTAGCCATCACATTGGCGCTATGAGACTCTCTCGAGTGACGTGTACAGCGGTGGCTTAGACTGACAGTGTTGGCCGACGTGGTGAGCTAGGAAAAATACAGGCAGTGGGGGGGTCAAATCAACCGGTTCCGGAGACGTTAAAGATTGCGTCTTCTCCTCCGTTTGCCGCTAAAAAGGACATTGTCAGCTCATCGTTGGTAAGAACAAGAGGGTTCTCAAGTGATACTTACCAGCCCTTGGTTGGGGATGTGGTCGACATAGTCTCGGTGGCAGTGACAGTCGGTTCCGGATCCGCACTCGTGGTGGCTTCCTCGGTAGTGGTGGTAGTGGTGGGCTCTGGCTCGGCACTCGTGGTGGTTTCTTCGGTGCTAGTGGTGGTCGGCTCCGGATCAGGGCTCGACGTAGAGACAGTCGTGGTTGTGACCGGTTCCGGCTCAGCCGAGCAGGTCTTGGTGGATTCGGGGTTGCGGCATTCAACGGCAGACATGGCGGCGCTCTTGATCTTGACCGTGGCGTCGTTGGGATCGTTGCGCCTGGTTTGTGTTGTCCCGTGTCAGTCCATCGAAACACGAGGAACAAGGTTTCCGGTACATACCAGGTAAGCGTCAACACAATGTCACCTGACGCGGTGGGCGTCCAAGTGTTGGTGTTGAATGTCGCCCATCCGTTGGTATTGCCAGAGTAGGTAAACTGGTTGAAGACAGTGGTTCTTTGGGGTAAGGTTGCCACGGTCATCTCAATCGTGTTCGCCGAAGCCCGCACGCCATCCATCGCGTACTGGAACGAGAAATCGTAGGTCACACCGGCTTGGACAGTGATGACCTGGGCCAGGTAGACCCGGCAATATCCGCTGTGTCCCTTGGGACTTCATCGGCAATGTCAGTTTCAGTTCTCTGTTGTTGACTTTGGCTACAACCTGACTCTGAGCAAATGAATGCAACAGAGACGAAAACTCTCGATGCAACGTACCAGAAATTCCACACATAGTGACCATTGGTTGGGTCGTTTCGAAGCTCGAGCGGGCCTTCGCCGCCGCTGCTCCTACCAAGCAGCCAGTTTCCTGTCTTAGTCGGCTGGTAGTAGTTTCCCTCGGCGAGCACGCCGTTGGACCAGTCCGAGTTGGCGACAAGAGTGGCTTCGCAATCGACACATGAAGTGTCTGCAGCGGCTCCAACGATGGCCAGCAAACCCAGGCTCCACAACCGGAGAAGTCGCGATCTCATTTTGGCGGCGTAGGGGAAAGGAAGCTGTGCGATGAATGTTTTACCAAACTAAGATAAAAGAGTGGACACTCCTCAAGAAAGGCTGCTGAAACGAATGACTAGTGGTGAGACTTGAAGAGTATCCCATGAGAACATAAAAGGGAGGCGAGGAGCGGACTCCAAAGAATATAAAATGCATTCACCAACAGTCTCGGCCTACCTGCTGGGCCATGAGGAGGAAACGCTCCGCCAACCCCTTTCCTAAATTGAAGACGGTTTGGCGGGGCTGATGCCGTCGATAATGGACGGTCTGGATTCGGCGCTATCGGTTCCTTTCCATAGCTCTTCCGAATTGGGCACCCCTGTCTGCCACGAGGGCCAGCTGAATCGTAAGCAAAGCTGGTCCTGACATTTCCACTCGGAAAGTTTCCCTGAAAATACAAATCGCGGGCGCCCAGGCTCTCGAAGATGGTTGATCAGCGATGGTTTGATTACAGTAATCGTTACCAGGCGATGGACAAAAGAGGTCTGAATTCTGTGACCTGTGCCCCGACATTCACGGTCATGACATCGCCCTGTCCGGGGCGCCCGAGGGGCCGGGGCTCCTCCATGAACTCCACCTTCAGCTTGCCCCTAGCCAGACTTGGCGAGGTCTAGAATTGATAGAACGCGAAAGCGAAAAAGCGTTTAGTGGAATTTCGATTCCTCTGTTCAGCCGCAGCGACCGAGAAACTTTTTCCGAGGGCGACGTTCCGAAGACAAGATACCCTCCAGGTCACGTACAGAGCGAGAGCTTCCGGTCCGGGGTGGGGCCGATCTCAGCGCCGAAGCGGGGCCGTGCCGCCTCCTAAACAGGCAATAAAATGTGCTTGAACTTTGGGAGCCTTCGACCAGACCATCACGGCTGGCAAGATGAAGATGGACTAAAAATTAATAATCTAGTTCGAGGATGCATTCGTGGAGGCATACCTAGAATCCGAGGAAGGGCTTAATTGTGACCATGATTCCACACCAGGTTTGGATGTTCTGCCCCGTGGCCCACCTACCTAGTACGTCTCTTCTGGTGGCTGAGGGTTAGACCTTTATTTCCCTGGTTTTCTATTGCATTCTCCGTTTAGGCAGTATGTTTTCATTGCAGTACGTATGTGTTCATTGGTTAATCAAGACCTCAGCGGCATTCAAGGGGAAGGAGGCATAGAATTTGGAATATTTCTGTAGGGAATCCCAAAAATCACGATAGCGTTAGAAGCACAGGGCAAATCCCTTCTCTCTGGAGGGACGTGCTACATTCGTGGTTCAATTGGATCATGTTCTTCTATCTAGAAATGAGGGGGGCTCAGATTTTGCAGCCGGGGTTGTCGTCCCCGAGGTCCAGGACCACGTGACGACTGCCCCAGTGGTGGACCCCCCCCCTGCCCTCCGTCACGTCCCCCTGCGAGGACGTAACTCTGGCGTAGATGTTCCGACAATTTCTTTTTTCGCCCTCGTAGCATTGTGGTTGTGGTTACGAAGGTTTTGGCCTGAGCGTTCTCTTCCCTGTGGCAGAACGATCACGAAACGACCAGCCAGATCTGGGTGTCGGTGTGTGTTTGCGGGCGGGCCGGGAGGCCACACTCCGCTTCAATTATTATACCAAGGTGGATAGCAGGGCTTGCCGAGCGAAGGTTAGCATGGGAGATGCGAGAATCAAGACTGGCAAGTGACATTCGACAAGATGAGCCGTGAGCGGCGAAGAAAGTCCTTCTGGCCCTTGATCGGTATCTACGCTCCACCTATCCACGCAATGCTCCTGCATCATTGCAAACTTACCGACGGCAGGAGATCGGATGGTGTGGATCGTGTCGTCAGCTTACGTGGTAGGTGCGTGTGCTGATGCCTTGATAATCGCCCATTTTATGCTCTTCCTTTTTGCTTGTTCCGCGCGGTTTTCCCAACTCTCTTCTGCTCGTTCCAACTCTTGTCAAAGTCAAGCTATTAATTCTAGAATCACACACATTCTTGTGATCCTAACTCGACTCGACATATATTTCCAGTACAATTGCCATCCGTTTTCAACAAACACTATGACAACGTCCGGACGCTCGACCCAACGTAGCAACATGGAGTCTTCAACCACCACCCAAAGTGGTCTCTCATTTGGTCTTGACGCCTTTAGCATAGACACCTCACCCCCCCACAGCTGTGTCTCCCCCAACTCAAGCTACCCTAGCAGCGTCTCCCCCAACTTAACCTACCCCAGCTGCGTCTCCCCTGAAGTAAGTTGAACATTCATCATTCCCTTGGTACCGCCCCAGATGCCACACAGCACACTGGCTCGACCTCGAACCGCCGCATCTTCACCGGACTAACAAGAATGAACCAGATCAATGACAAGCCCCAGCCACTCTCCGAGAACGGATTTACCAAAGCTCCGAAGGCGCAAGCAAATGGAAATACCAAAAGCCAAGCCACCACCGAACAGCTTCACCACCAATCCAACGGGGGCGTGACGGGAATACGTACGCAATGGCAACCATTGCAGGACGACAAAAACAACAAGCAACACGCTCCGTTCGAGCCAGAGCCGCTGGCCGGGCTCAAGCAAAAGTTCCCCCCGTCCCCAAGCGAGAGCGAGAGGGCAAAGCCCCAATATCCCGACCCAACAAACAACCCCGCCCAAGGCATCAACAGTGCGGGAATCGACCTCGGACTGCAGAGCAAGACAGCCTGGTGGGGCCTGCTGGACGTAACAAAAAGCATGGCAGCCACCAAAACCCGCCTCGCCGAGAGCGCGCGGTTCGCGCAGATGTCGGTGGCCGAGGTGGCGTATGCGTCGGCGGCCATCGCCGACCTCGAGGACGCGGTCGTCTTGGCCCAGGGCGAGCTGGTGCTGCGCCAGCAGGTCATCCGGCGCCTGGAGGAGCAGGTCAAGACGCTGGTCGTGGAGCTGGAGGAGCGAGATAACGCCCTGGCTGGCGCGGCGGCGGATGCCGACCTCATAAAGAGCCTTGTGGCGGAGCTGCAGGCGAGGGAGAGAAATGGTGACGCCGGCAATGATGCTAAATCTTCCGCCCAGGAGGGGGGTGAGCCGAAGGCCGGCATGACGCGCCACGTTAAATGGGCCGCGGATGACAATGACAAGATCGTGAACAATGTGATCAAACTGATCCAGGACCTGGAGTACAGGTATTCGCTGCTCAGAGAGAGCCTCGAGAGCACCCACACCATGTTCCGGGAGGCTCTGGCGCTTGCGGTGCCGGCGTTCGCTTCCCACCTGGCGGAGACGGCTAAGAAGGCGAGCGATGCGGCGGCGCAGGCCGCTCTTGATGCTGGCGAGGATAACGCTGTGCTTTGAGAGTCATGGTTTGGGGGGTCGTGCTTGTGGCGGGGATGAGGGGTGTGGGGGATTAGGAGGATGAGACACGGAAGGGACGGTGGCCTGATTGTTGTCCATGGGTGACATCACTGACATGTTGGTCATGGTGGGAATAAGATGGTGGCGTGGGAAAGATTGGGAGGTTTGAACTCGAGTGTATCATTAAGGTGATTCGGTACTTGGTTGCGTGGTTGGAGAAATGCACATATTTGTGAGACAACTGTTGACTGTCTCTGTTGGTTGCCTTGTTGTTTGCTACGCCACTTAATCTTGCCTCAAAGTCCCCTTCGATTTGCGCTTTTCTTTTTGTCATCCCTCTTGAGACTGGCACCTGGGACAAATTGCCGTGGCTACTAGCACTGGTTTTAATTTAGGACCCGGTACCTTTGTCTCGGTGTCATTGCGTCACTCATTTGTAACGACGAGGAAGGCAGCAGCCCACGATGGTTCGATCATGCGATGAGGTGATCGCCAAGAAGAGCCTTTCACCGCTTGCTGCAACGGCAGGAGAAGACGACGTCCGTGTTCACTCAGAGGAAGTTTACAGTGCCATCCTGGACGTCACTGCCCCCACCGGATACATGGACAATCAAGTACCTCCCACTCGGGCTACCCCTGTAAGCTTAACACACCAATCCAAATGAGGGGACGGCACTCAAGGAGCCCCACCCTATTCTCCCCGGTTGGTTGTCCGTGACCTCTTCCTCACCTTGTTCACTCCGAAATCCGTCCATTCCCTCTTGAAAACATCAAACACATCAAAAACATCAGAACCATCAGAGCGCGAATCCCGTGTTAAACACAACCAACCCATCACCCATCGGGCCATCCTTCCGCATTGTCCGCACTCACCCACCATGGCCGAACCCAAATTCCACCCCTTCATGCGCCTGCCCCCGGAATTACGCCACCAAATCTGGGAGATGAGCATCGAACCGCGCGAGGTCGTCTTCGGCCGATTGAAGGAAACCAACGACCGCCGCCGCAAACTACCGTTCTGCGCGGCGCCGCCACCGTCTCTCCTGACGGCCTGCGCCGAGTCGCGCGCCCACATGCAGCGCTTCTACACCAAAGCCTACATCCGACCGCTCCCCGGTGCGCCCTCGCACGGCAGGGACAACGTTCCCGAATATTGCTGGGTCAATTTCGCCACCGACACCGTCCGCATCACGCACCGCCAGGTCCCCCACTTCAGCCACCTCGCCGCCGCGCGGAAGCTGGTCGTCGAGACCTTGTACGAGCTCGCCTCTCGTGACCGGTTCCGGCACCCGGGCCTGGCGCTGGAGCAGCTCACGATTCTAGACCTGGATGAGTCGCGCGGGGCGATCTGGTGGTTCCCGTGGATCGATTTCATGGAGGGGTTGTACTACGGGTGCGACGCGGTGGCGTTCGACACGACCGTCCTGCATGGCGACGCGGAGCCCCTGACGCGGGAGAACTGGTTGCAGGTGGATCGGGCGTGGCGCAAGGAGATGCTGGATAAGATCTTTTGGGGGCATCCCGAGCTGAGAGAGCAGGCGGAACGGGGGGGGGATGACGAGGATGCCGAGGATGTCGAGCATGTCGAATGGCCTAGGTTGGTCACGTTTCGGCGGCGTTGGAGGCATGTGGATGGGTGTGCTTGTGCGAATAAAAAGGGGGCCCCGGCTAATAAGTGAGCGAGGTCATCAAGATATGTAGGTGGGCTTGGGCTGAGGTATGGGAGCTAGATTGGTGGAAAAATTCCCGTAATAATCACCACATTTTACTCTTCTGTCGACTAATTAGTCGGCCTGTGGTCCGTTCGTGTCGAGTCGGCCCGTCGCCATTGCAAAATGTATGGTTGCGCGAACAGCTGCCATGTTAGGAGTCCAGTCGTTCTTGTCCAACGGCGATTTCCCTCCCAGATAGAAGGAAATATTGCTTCTCTGAATGTCTGTACATTTGAGCATCTCTGTTCGGTACGCTGTCCATTTTGTGCATCGGAATAGGAAGTGGTCCACTGTCTCTTTAGCTTGCCCACATACTGTCACGGAATGACCCCGAGGTGGCCAGGGCGGCCACAGCCGACAGCGCAGGACGCCGGCAGCCAATCGCTTAAGGACCAATAAGAACCGGATTATCACCAGTTGTCAGTGATAATGGACGATTATCACTAGTTGTCAGTGATAATGGACGATTATCACTAACAGAGTGGTGATACTAGATAGTATATAGTCACTCGTACTGGAGAGCTCTGGGAGTTCTCCAGTTAGCAATCACAACTACAGTTCGCTACAAGCTCGAAAGCCTACTGTTGAGACAAGTCTTTGTTGTGCACCCTTTGGCTGCACCGAACCTAAGCACCCTTGAGAGATTACCTTCAACCGAAGCTGAACCCTAACAGGACAGGGTCCTGAAGTAGGTTCGTCACACATGCGCACTGGTCTGACGGTGCTACTCCAATTCGGTAGAGGTAACCGTTGAGCCTCGCCATGCCTGTTCTGAGCTGAGCAAGTTTGACAGCCTCCTTTCGTGATAGATGATCGTACAGTAGTGAGTGCTTTCAGACTACCTACCTAGCAAGGGTTTATAGTTTCATTGTTACAGTCTATGTTACATGTAATTGCCACAGTTCTATATCTTAGGTATTGTCACACGGATCATTACGTGGACTCAACCATCATGGACTCAATCATGTCACACGGATCACCACGTGGACTCAACCATCATGGACTCAACCATCATGGACTCAACCATCATGGACTCAACCATCATGCCACACGGATCATTACGTGGACTCAACCATCACCAATCATTTTCAGAAATCAATGGCCACTCATCGGCCAGCCTCACTAATTTCATTGGCGTCCTCGTCAGACGCCCTTCCTCACCTTCTCACCTTCTCACCGAAACCCTTCATGTATAAGAAGACTCAGAATGTCAGATAGCTCCAGAACTTCTCTTTCTCTCTTCATGGACTTCTCGAGGCCATTGAAGATTATTCTTATTAATACACTTGGTTTTGCCGGTTCCCCCGGCAGCTGATTGTTCAAGCCCTGGAATTCCAGCCCTTGTAACAGGTATGTAATAAACAGCAGTGGCGGGTTGTCCGCGGTAATTTCCACGTCTGTGTCTGGCCTGACATGATGTAAGGCAACCCCGTAAGTGATGTACTGGGGTTTTGGATTTTAACTAGACCAGGCTTTCAGATGGAAATGCCTTCTTGGGAGAGACAGCAAGAGTTGAGGAGCTACCCGTGATGTCCGCTAATCCTCGAGTAAGAGTAAAATTTGGGTCTATACTGTAGACAGCATCGGCATCGAACAATGTGTCGGTTCCTGGGAAGCGTACGTGTTACCTTGGTAGTTGACCTGGTGTAACAATGAACAAAGTATAAACCGATAATAGGTATGCGGGACTTGAAGGGCGGACTTGCTATGCAACCGGGTAGTTATCAGGTACCTTAGTTACCATGTTGTTTCGTAGGTATTCATGTCGTCTTGTCGTGAAGTAATTGTCGGTACTTTTTCTCCTTACAGCATCACATCTCCCGTATCGATCGGAAACAAGACGCATCTATTAGCCTCTTGCTGAACCACTTCCCCTCTAATCCTGGCTTGTGAAGCCTGGCCTACATCACTAAGCTGCCATGTTTGAGAGAACCACCCCCGCGCCTCCCGCCGCGGCAACAGTACCTCCAACGGCCTGACCAGCGGCAGCAACCACCGCTGCCCCATAACCTCCCATGCCAGCGCTTTGCAGCGTAGCGAAGACACCTCCGGCAACCACATTTGGAGTCTGGACCATCGCGGCGATTGTCCCTACAACGAGGAGCAGACATGTCAGCGTCACACCCTTCTTAACCCGATCAAGTGGGAACGACCTACCAGCCCCAGGACCAAGGGGAGTAAATCCAGCGGCAGACAGCGCCGGGCCCGTGAGAATTCCCGGGGCCGCGACGATGGCCAAGCCACCCAGAGCCACAGCACCACAGGCCACGGCGGCCGGGTTTGCGGCCGCGAAGGTGTACCCATTCGCGCCAGCCTCGGCTGCGATCTGCAGCGCGGGAGCAATCGCTTCCCCGACGGATTGCACCGCGTTGTGCGCAAAAGGGACACCTTGCTCTGCGGCGATCTTGAAGGCGGGAGCGATCGCTTCTCCGGCGGACTGTACAACGCCATGCGCAAAAGGGACACCTTGCTCTGCTGCGACTTTCAGAGCAGGAGCGATCGCTTCCCCTGTGGACTGGATAGCGGCATGTGCAATGGGAGCAGCTTGAGCAACTGCATCAGCAGCTCCCTGAGCGAGGCCGGCTGCGCTGGCGCCCAAGTTTTCCAGTGCCGGGGCGGCTGCTTGTTCCACGGTTTTCAGAGCGGCTTGGGCAAATGGGACAGCGTCCTGGATGAAGCGAAAGGCATCCATGGTGTCGGATTGTTAGAAAACTGGGTGGTAGTTGCTCGTTTCGTTTAACTGGGAGTGAAGCGGCCTCTGAAGAGGGGGTGGCGTTGAGACTGCCCGGGAAAACTTGGCTGGAAGGATTTGGAAAGGTGAAAGGGGGAAGAAGCTGGGGCGGCAAGCAGAGGAAGAAATTTTAGAAGCGTAAAAACAAAAAGAAACCAATCATCACTGCAGTCAGCCAGAGCAAACAGCCCGTCGAGCGTCGGGCAGTCGATCGAGGTAGGGAGGCCTACAACCCGGCTCCACACACGCTGCGGTACAACCTTTGACCTACCCGTAATTCTTGTCTTTGGATCTTTTGTCTGAGCACTCCGCCCGGCCACCACCTGTCGTTTGCTACCGCATCAGTATTCAAGAAAAGCACGAAGTGTATCTGTATATCAGGTAAGAGGGCAAGGGTTCCTTTGCGCCGTGCCCCCATCAACCCGACCCCATCGAAACAACCACCAGTACCATGACATGTATAGGGAGCCATTGGATCGGCAAGATGCCATTGTATGCTAAAAAGTTGGGTCCACTGCGGTGTTCATGAGACTGACTGTAGAGGCACCACTCTTCAACGCTACCTAGGTTTCTTGACACAGGGCTGTGAATGTGATGAGTGCTCCTAGATTTTGGGAGACCCCTCGCTCACCAAAAGGAAAACAGGCAAATTGACATTACACTCTCCGCGGCTTAAACCCCACAAACAGATCACAATGACTTGGAAGGTACAGTCGCCGTGTTCCCGTTGCTGAGTGTCGGCCCCTGCTCGGGACGCAACTCGGAAGTATGCCCGTGACCTTCCACCCCTTGTCGAGTACGAAGCTGAGAGGGGCCTTGGGGCAATGATATATCCTCCTGAACCGCAATGCGAGCCAAAATATCTTTCTGAAGCCGTTGACAGATACGGTTAGCAGCGCAGTTATATATTGTGGGACACGTAGGCAAGCAGAGGGAGCAACTCACAATCTTGAGTTCATGATGCGATGTGACAATGTAGGAATTGTGTCGCATCTGTGGCAAAGTTGGATTTCGGGTGTGAGATACTAAACTATAAAGTAACCATGCAAAATTGACCTGCTCACCTCGACCTTGAAGCCGCCTGGCTTCTCGGTCAGTTGTTGCAGCGCCTCCACCAGACCATCGATACTCCTCACACATTTTAAGGGGAGCTTGTAGACCTGCACATTTGGGTCGTTTTGCGGCAGCGCTGGCGAGATCACTTCACCGGTATTTGATCTCTTGAGCATGTTGGAGTGAAAGAGTCGAGACATCTGGCTAGGCCAGTTGGGAGGAGAAGAAGTTTGGACTAGAGAGGGCACGGCCATGTCTTTAGTGTTTAACCTTGACGTCGAAATTGGGGATCTGTGAAAAGAACATTTCGGAGATCGCAGTTCGAGCGCAAAGGCATAAACGCATGACCTTTTACACAGCCTTCCTCCTTTAATGTCGTGCCAGGACTAAAGAATCAGAAGTCAGCCCACGCCTGACAACCCCACCGAGGGATAATACCGGAGGGTTACATTGTCGGGCGAAAAAGAACTAGCAAGGGGCCCGAACAGTTTTCCCAAAACAGCAAAAACATGCTTCATGGGTTCGGTGAAGGCGTTTAATAAACCGAGTTAGTGGATGCTGATTGGCCATAAGCGCACACCACCTTCTCTGTCAAGTATGTGTGGCTTGAGTCACAAGTGCTCGGTCAGGGGGTGTGCGAGGGAAGTGTTCGAGTTTGGCCGGGGCCTTCACGAATATCGGCATTCACCGAGTGTACTGAAAAGTCAAAATGTACGGCGTGCCCGGACGAGGCCCAACGGGACATGAAGTTGCGCAGCGGACTGACAATATATGCCATGTGTCGGGGCGTGTGGTATGACAGGACAATTGCAATTTGTGTCTCTCAGGCACACAGCCAGGCATCCGCCGCCAGTTCTCAGACCGGAATATTGGCGACAGCCGGCTGATTATAATAAGTGGTTGATCCCGGCAGACGTTGCTGGTCTACTGTTGAAGTTCATACAATATTGTTGGCTTTCCCATCCGTGTGTACTGGCCGCACCGGGGCAATCAATATGAATGATACCATGGCCACGAATGAACCGCAGCAACAACTTTACCACCCGAGGACAATGATTCAAAAACAAAGAGACTCGGAATACACCATAAGGGTTGATGTGGTTTGTGTACCCAACGGCAACCAACGATAACTATGAGTTTAAAGCTGATTTTTCTGAAGCCCCCTACCACTTTTCTTGATGCAGACTTCATAGAAACCAGGGGGACGGGCCTTGGGAAACAACGGGATAGTACTAACACCAATCTATCCGTATCGACGGCAATATTGGGCACAGAATCCCATCCAGATGGACCGAAATCATCCGTTTCCTCCTTCGGTTCAAGGTCGGGCATAGCCCCGAGCTTCACCAGCACCGCCCCGTCTGAAGCGAGCAACAATCATGATGGCGGCGACGAACCCCCAAGCTTGCAGTACAGAATTAGGAAAGCCAGGAAACGATGCCTAGAATGGATAAATCGTTCAGAGGAGGAAACCTTCTTACCTGACGATGAGATCCAGAGCCTCATTTGTGCCGCGACAATTCGAGAGGAACTTGCCGAACATGGCTACATGGAGGATATTGTTTCGCACATTGTCCCGGACCGGAGGAAGCTCTTTGCCATTTTGACACTCATTGGTAAGGCCTATTTCATTATCAAACTAATCGAGGAGGGTATCGACGACCACCACCTCCCCTTTGCGGTGGGCCCTTGCAAAGGCTCCCAGCCATACATGTATATGGTAAGAGAGGACACTGGAGCGCACGAAACGAATGGGATACAAGCTTTCACACCACCCTTTGACAAGGGCTTTCGTTGGAAGTCGCACGACAGCGAGGCATTTGTTAGAAACCAGTGGAAGCTGCTGGCGCCGCACTTCAACATGTTGTGCGCTTCCCATGACGACTCTGTAAACGCCGGAGGACCCCCCCATTACGAATTTAAGCCCCAAGAAATACTACCTTTTACCGAGCCCAACGAGGAATGGGAACCCGTCGAGCAGCCTGGAGGTTTTTCCGTGGTGAAAAAGGTGCACATCCACCCGGCCCATCGAAGCCACTGTCGAGTCGATAGTTGTGTGAGTGGCCATTTTGACCTGCTGCTGGCTATCATACGTAGTAATTACTCATATCTTTGCAGCGCGTTGCGTCTCTCAAGGCCAACTATGCCGTGAAGTCCATCCACCAGAACTGTAATCCGTCCGACATACAAAGGGAGATCAGCAACCTGAAGCGTTTCGACGGGAAGGAACACCGTGACCGCCTCGTCCAACTCCTATGCACGTTCAAATACGCCAACCAGTACCATCTAATCTTCTCTTGGGCCGACGGCGGCAACCTGGCAGACCTTTGGCAGAACCACTTCCCGGATATCCACAACCAAGCGCGTAGCTACGACCTCGCCAGGTGGATTGCCCGCGAGAGTCTGGGCATTTCCCAGGGGCTGCATCTCATCCACCACCCCGGCCCGTCTTCCACAACCGACGAACGCACCGAAGGCCGACACGGCGACATCAAACCAGAAAACATTCTCTGGTTCCGCAACGACAACAACAGCGACAACAACAACCACCGAGGCACGCTCAAGATCTCCGACTTCGGCCTGACCGACTACCACCGCAAGACGAGCGTATCACGAGTCCGGGCGGACAGCATCGGACAGACGCAGACGTACCGGCCGCCCGAGTGTGAGATACCGGGGGGGTATGTGTCGCCATCGTACGATACATGGTCGCTAGGCTGTGTGCTGCTGCAGTTTGTCACGTGGTACGTCGAGGGCTGGGAGGGGGTCGACGAGTTCTCTAAGCGCCGCGCTGAGGCGTCCCCGCCGCGCAGGGTGAGGGATGAGGACGTTGTGGGGGATCTGTTTTATGCGTTGGCGACGCCGCCGACGGAGAATACGGCGGTTAAGAAGGTTTGTGGTGTTCCCTTCTGGTTTTGTCGAGGTGGATTGGTAGCTGGTCGTGAAGCTATGGTTGATAATGTGGGACTTGCACTGACGAGTGTTGTTTAGCAATTTGACAGGCTCCGGAAGCATGAGAGGTGCAGCGACATGTTTGTCGACATGCTATATTTCATGGAGAGCAGGCTCCTCCTAATGGACGGCAAAGAAAGGGCAAAATCAGAGGAAGTAGTCAATAAGTTTGAAGCAATCTACGCCAGGTGCTGTGAGGATGAGGATTATTGCATATCAAGGCAAGTCCTACCTCTCACTACCTTACCTGATACTCCCTCCCGGTTACCGTTAGTTAAACGACTAATGTGGTTATTTTCAGGGCATTATCTCTTGTGCCAGATCGTAAAAAGCGGTTAAAGTGGTTCCTGCAAATGCTAGTATGTAGGTAGATAGCATCTAAACATGAGATTTGAGCGTTGATGGAGAAAGACCTCACTGTATTATCCTGTAAAGACTAAGGGCCAGGCCTATCTGTATTCATTTTTTCGTTTTGTCTTTACCCCTCCGTTTTCCCCCCCTTCTCTTCCTTTAGTCAGTCTGTTTTTTTTTATCTGTCCATGTCTTCTATCGCGCTTTATTCCCCCCTCTCGATGTCCCTCGCTGTCCCTCTCTCTAATCGCCACAATTTAGCGACTCGCCCTTTTGATCTCAAATCTCTGCTGCTTTATATCCTCAAGGATCCTCTCCAGCTCCTCTCTCATATCTTTCGCCGAGACACGACGGCGTCCCATAATCTCGGCGATTTTGTCCGTGGTATGTTGTGTTTTGCGTAGCAGGATCTTCCGAAATCGTTGGGCTGTGTGCCGGTGGCTCTCCGTTGCCTCTGATAGAGTCCCTGGTAGGGTTTCGACCTTCACTACCAGGAGCCTTTCCTCGATCAAGGTGACCAGGTCCCGAAATGGCGATTCCTCTCGGCAATTCTGGTCATTTTTAATCTTCTTGACCCACTGGGAAACAATGGGATGAATATGAGTGCCTTTCTTGTCGGACTGGTAGAAACGATCTTCCAAGGCGGTGGTAAAATCATGCAGTCCCTCGAAGTCGTATAGCAGCCAGATCAGGAACTCAAGTAAAATGCACCCCAGTGACCACACGTCGTAACGTCGTGACAGTTTTGAGTGGATTGGGCCTTTCCTGGTCTGACTCATTTCGGGGGGCTCGTATCGGGTAGTTGATACCACGGTCGAGGTTACGGCACGTTGCTGGGTTGGGCCCTTGTGCCTCTTTGCAATTCCGACGTCGGTGATGACCAGTCGGATGGACGGTCCAGCCGGCTTGCTTGCATCCCGGGTAACGGCGCAGCTACCATCCTGGAAGCAGAGGATATTCTCGGGCTTCAGATCGCCGTGGCGAATGTTTGGGACCTCCCCGTGCAGCTCAACCAGTGAGTCGGCAAGTCCGACGAGCTGCGTGAAGACCCAAACAAGAAAGTTATTGTCCCCTCGGTGGCTCTGGCCCTCCTCCTTTTCCTTTATTCTCGCCGCCCAGAAATGCCAAAGATTCCCATTTTCCGCTATGGGAAATAGAAAACAGTGAGACTTGCCAATGCGGTAGTATGCAATCGCCTTTATCAGGTTGTCGCTTTCGAGCTTGCGCACAGCTTCAAGGTTGCGGGCCTCCTTCTCCGCGGCCTTTTCCCGGTCCTCAGGAGTGCCACCTTGCAACGTCTTGAGTGCAATGACGGGATCCGTCTTTTCGCCCAAGGAGGATCTCTTTGATACGCCGGGACGTTAGCTTAGTTGTACATGAAAGGTAAAGTCCTAGATTACGACTGAGACACACCTGGCAAAGAGGCAGCGTGGTGTGGTCGATGTGGTCTCGGTGGATAGTGACCTTCTCCACCCGCCCAGATCCCCCCGAACCAAGCTCTTCGGGGGGTGTTGTGAACGGTAAGGCCGTCCCGGCCGCGAAGTCATACCTGAACCTCGCCTTTTGAAAGGTCGGAGCTGTAAATTCCCACTGTCTATCTTTACAAAACTCTTCAACATCTCGCTCGTCCCACATTAGACCCTTCCCACGGAACATGGCGTCGATTTCCCTCCCACCAACATCCCCGCCAATAATAAAGTCTAGTGTATTATCCTGGCGAAAGTTGTACCGTATCGGCAGCTTCTCCTGATCAAAGCTGTTGACGTAGAAGCTCGTGATTAGCCACGGTTTCCCCATCATCACCAACCCTGCAAAAATAGGAGATGCTCTCTCTGTGACGAAGTCGGTTAGCTTCGATACAATTTGTTTCTGAGCTGGTAGTTGTAGGCGGACGCCCTCTAGGGTGGCCTCGATACGTTTCCGATCAAGGACCTCTTCCAACTTTGACGTTGGAAAGAAGTATTTGGGCCCTCCTTTCTGCATCCCATTGTTGATCATCCTTCTCAGACTATCGTTGGGGTTCAAGGCCATTTTTACGGCCTTGGTTGTGTTTGTTTTCTTTGTCAGAGACAACAGGAGGGAGGGATCCTTAGGCTGAAATGCAGGGGGAATCCAGTTAATAGCCAGACGCCGGCTTACCTACCTATCTAATCAAGGGTGGGCGGACCGTTGCCTCCCAATAATACTAGCTCTTTAGTGTCCCGCCCTTTCCGCCCTTACTATCCGCTGCTTGGAAGATGGCTGCTAACCCGCAGGTCGACCGAGTCTGCAGCAGTTCCTCGAAAGACGGCGATTGGCCGGCCTCCCTCTTTAGAACGATGGCGGGGAGTCCGTTACATCGCTGGGCCGTTGGACCATTCCCTAGCCGACCCGCATACTAATGCATGCCACGTCTTTTGGGATGCATGCGTGGATCTCTTAAGTGGTCCCATCGAATGATCACTGCATGCCCGGTTTCAATATCGGGCAGCTCGGGTAGCACGAAAGAAGCCACTTCTGTCCTCTTCCTACCCCGTAAACCACTCCCCTCCATGACCCCACGCTCCCAGAGCATGTATTTATTTGAATTTATCCCAAAAGTACAATGCCCACGCATTTAAACAGACCTGATCCGAATGTGGCGGCGGCAGCTAGGGAGATCAGGAAACGCCTCTTCGTCTTCTGCGACGGTACATGGCAGGATGGTGTTAACAAGGCAAGACCACTGACCAACGTTGCGACTCTCGCGCGGTGTCTGGAGCCTGTCGACCGTCATGGTTGCCTCCAGATCGTCTATTACGACGGTGGGGTCGGAAGCGTAACAAGCGCGCCGGCACAGCTCGTCGATGGTGCGACTGGAAGAGGTGAGAACACCTGAACTGAAGGCCAGCACGGCTGCCTTGAAGGGGGATGTCATGCAGCCAATAGTCCCCAATTTTTTAACACAGCAACAAATTACCATCTTAGGCATCTCGGCCAAGATCCGCAACGCGTACAGCTTTCTCTCCCACAACTGGAACTTCAGGGAAGGGGAAGACGAAATCGTTCTTGTGGGCTTCTCGCGCGGCGCCTTCGCGGTGCAGTGTCTCGCCTCCCTTATCAGCGATGCCGGCCTCCTTCAGAAAACAGCACCTCTACTATTTGCGCGGTCTCTTCACCCTCTGGGCAAACCAGAAATCCCCAAGGGGTGGAGAGAAATACAGGGTTTATCAAGCTAAACTGCAAAGCTCCAGACTCCTACACCAAGTTAAAATCACCGCGTGCGCCGTCTGGGACACGGTGAGCTCTCTGGGTTGCATTGTACAATTGTCTCCGAGGCCACTTGCCTTTGTGGGAAACGAGGTCCCGGACCGTGTCCAGCACGCTTTTCAAGCAGTGGCATTGGATGAAGAGCGGTCCAAGTTTCAGCCGGTGTTGTGGACATCTAAGCCTGCGACGGCGTCTGTTAGTCAATGCTGGTTCCTCGGCTCCCATGCAGATGTTGGTGGCAACGGTGATGCTGCGCTAGGGGGCCTTTCGTTGGTGTGGATGGTCGGCAAGCTTCATGGAGAGCTTGGGGTCGCCTTTGACGACAAGGAGATTGCGAAGCACCTCAAACACAGGTTTCTCGAATGGGACATCACTGTGAGTAGGTTTTCCCATAGCATCAAGGAGACGAAAAGGGCGGTGGCTACAATGCCTCACTCAGGTGAGTCTCATCAATCAATGGGTTGCGCGAGCGATCGAGAAGGGGGGTCTCATATATCCACAGGTCAGCCAACCCGACAAGCCTGGTATTGGTGGTTACTCGGGCTCAAGACACGGGACAACTACCTTAGGAACACGCAGTTGGTGCCGACCTACATCCACTTCACAGCACGCCTGACCATGGCCCAAAAACGACACATGTGCCCCCCCATGAGGTCATGGACCACATTATGGGCTGAACAGGAGTCGGGCTTGGCCAAGATACAATGGCACTCCGGAAGCGGGCGGCAAATAGTGGATGAGCACCCCCTTAAGGAACATGACAAGGAGTACGAGATTCTTCGGAAGTGGTGTCACGGCGAATACAGATTCTTGGATACTGACAGGGGCCCCTTCGCTGCCGTCGAAGCACCGATGACGGCTGAGGAGTTGAGGGGAATGGCGGAGTTTTTCAGAGACCATCTGAAATTTGAGAATAACAAGTTATCGGAGGGTTCTATGTATTTAGGTTCGACCACGGCATAATAGAGAAAAGACTGGCACTCGAAAAAGACCTTCACAGACTCAAAGACAGACGCTCTCACCATGATTGATCGCCACAAACACGGGTCCCTTTCCCAAGCCCGACTCCCATCACAACTGCACCTCCCCCAACCCCTCGCAAACCCCACCCCTTGCTGCTCACAAGCCCACTCCAGCGCCCCCAGCGTCCTCAACACATCGGCCGGATCCGGCACAAACGTCCCCCAATGCATCGCC